GCACTAGCAAGAGTATAGTCTGCACCGCGGCGGAACCGTCTCGCAAGCAAATTGTGGCTCGTGAGGTGGTCCACGCCAGTAACAAGTCCAAGCCACTTCCGGAAAGGCTGCGACGGGAACAGCACGTTCAACAACTCCTGAATGGGGTTCTCGGTATCCGTCTCGCCGGAGGCATGCTGGTACAGGTATCGATGCTTGTGGGGAGGACGAGCAACCGTCCACCCGCGCTGTGCCTGGATCTCATCCGCAGAAGCCGGAAGAGCCTGTCTCTCCTGCTCCTCAATGTATGCGCTCACGCGCGAGCCAAACTTATCACTCAGGAACCGCTCCAGGCTGAGCGAGGACTCGGCTGAGAACGCGTCTGACATCTCCTCGGCGATATCAGGCGTCAGGTACGAAGGCGCAATATACTGAAGTAGGAAGGCTAGGTCGCTCTCTGTGAACTCGCCTTCATTCTGCTCTTCCACTTTCCCCTTGCCCTTGCCTTCGACTTCGGGCTCTTCCCAGGACACCGGCTGTGGCTGCGGCAGGTCGTAGATATCGCCGCGGCCTTGCAGCTGCGCGAGACTGCTGCGCTCGGCGAGCTTCTCTTCCAGTCCTTCCTCGTAGCCGTCTTCGCCTTCTTGCGGGATGTGGAACCAGCCGCTGATTGCCATACGTACGCGCTTCTTAGTCTTGTCTTCGTCTTCGCGTGGGTGGTACACTTCCTCGACATCGTGGAAGCTCTCGCCCGGTTGGACGGTGAAGAAGCTCAGCTGGTTGAAGGCAGGAGGGATGGAGAGGCTGTAATCCGGGCTGGGGATCTTGACGTCCTCGCCTTTAGCGTCTTTCTCGGTCGTTGTCGGGAACAGGCGCAGGGCACCGCCCCACTCGGCTTGCCAGGGTGTGTCGGGGTCGGTCAGGTAGAGGATGTAGCTGAGGCGACGGCTGCCGATGACATCGTCGTGACACAGGAGGTGGCAGCCCTCGGTGTAGACGTTAATGGCCATGTCGGTCTTCTGACCGCTCAGCTTGCCGGAGCCAGTCACGGAGGACAGGTACTCGCGGAACCGCGCCGAGTACATCGCGTCACGCAGCTTCAGTACGGAGGGCAGCTTCGAGAGGGAGGAGTCATCCAGTCCATCAAGGTTGGCGAGATCGCCAGACTGGAAGATCTTGTAGATATCAGTTTCCTTCTCGGTGAAAGACACTTGAGTTTCGATCTCGTCGCGGACGGAGCGGAGAAGAGTGGGCTCGATCAGAGGGTGAATGACGCCATGGAGGTAGCTATAGATTCAGACATGTTAGTATTCTGTCATTGGACTTTTTTCCTTTGTATACATACGGAGAAGACTTGGCGTATTCGTCGGTGTACTTCTGCTGCTCAGCGGTGTCGAATAGGCCGTCGCGGAAGCGGGCAGCAGCCTCCTCGCTGGAGAGAGCCCGTTTCTTGGACTGGGGCATGGCATTGCCATCGAGGGAGGCCCTTGCGTCTGTCTTGCGCTTCATTTTTGCTGTTTGTAGAGGAATGGGAGCTTCACCAGCGAGTGGTCTGATATTTCATAGATTTTTCCGGGCGGTGAGAGCGCACGATGAGGCGGTCAACTGTGCTTGTGTTACATCTTCAGCTCTAAGATAGAAGATCACAGTTCGTCTAAGATTTAGTATATTGTTATACAAATCTTAGATATATAGTCTAAATGTAATTTAGATTTCAATCAATGCTGCGTTTCAAACACTTGCATTATACGGGGGCTGTCTCTCTTCGTAGATCAGTGACGCGTAGCCGATACGCTCATCCCTATCCGAAGGCAAACTAATTCCTGCACATCTTTTGTTTATCTTTGAGATTTGAAATTGACAAAATTCCTTCAATATCGGCGTCAGTCTTTGTTTTGATCGAAGTCATCGGACGTTGCACATGTGATTGCGGCAAATCCAGGCACCGCTGTCGTCATATCCCGCATATCCCGCCTTATCACCGGAAAGACCTCGATTGTCCCCCCACTTAGGGACCTGCTTGATCCTCTTCCACTCCGTCGAATCTCATCATGCAGCAACAAGGGGCCGAAGCCCCAATTTCAGATCCGCCGGGAACTCCTCCTCGTCCGCCTTATTCCCCGGTGACGCCTGTGTTTGCCCATCTCGCGCCAGTCGCTTCCAACGAGCCATCAATCGTACCGCCACCTGCATCTCCCTCTCCACCATCACAACTCCCTCCACAGTCATATGCCAACTATTCACATGCCCCGCCTCCTCCGCCCAATCCTCCCGTATTCAAGCCCCGACCACCCCCTGTACCTATCTCTGAGAGTGAGAATCCGGATGCTATCGCGCTCCGTTCCGCCATCTCGATCCTGCAAATGCAGAAGCAACAAAGCTTGCGCGACATCCAGGCATTAGATCGCATGAAAGAGGCCGCCGCTGCTGATCCGGAGGGGTTTGCGCATGAGCTGGCGGCAGGTCGGTTGAAGACCGAGGACCACGGTACTGTGATCCAGTTCTCCGAGGATGACGCAAGGGACGACGATGAGGATGAAGAAGGTTCAAAACGCACGAATCCAGACGGCTCACCGGCTTCGAATTTCGGCCATATCCCCGTTCCGCAGAATATCGTCCGTATGCCCCCAATCAACTGGGCCAAGTATCAGGTTGTTGGAGAGCCACTTGATCGTATGCACGAGGAGCAATTACATCGCCCAAGCTCTGGGGAACCGAGACGAACGCGTGCGCCGGAGCATGTTTTGGCGTCGCCGTATCGACCATTGGTAGATCAGCTGGAGGGACCGCCGAAACTCGGTCGTCCCAGCAAGGCGAAAAAGACATGAGCTTGTAAAGTGGATTTGATGATTATGGGGTTATGGACTTTTACGAAGTTATGTACTTTATCACTTACGAACAGAGCCGGACTGGTGTGTTTCATTGACTATTTCGCATGGTTTCTTGGGTGGGTTGCCGCTGTGTTTTGCGTACTATACTGAATATAAAAAGAGAGAGAAAGGAAAGATTCCTCATTTATCCATACATTCAAGGTTCGAAATTTTATTATGATTCATCCCTTGTCCCCGTGAACCGAGACTCCCTTTCTAGAACAGAGACATTTTCTCCACGTATAATTAGGACATAGGTTTGATTTTTCTAACGTATTACAAGACATTGGGTCTCAGTCGGTTGACAGAGATAGAAAGGATAAAGAAAACCATGATTTATTTCATCTTAAGATGCTCCTGCAAATCTTCAGGTAAAACAAACGGAGTCTCCTCAGGTAAACAACCCCTGGCAGCTTCCACATCCCCAATCTTAAGATATCCATCGATCAGCCTCATAGTAGCAGTCACATCAGTAACTGAAACAATCCACTCATCAATATATCTCCCAACAGCATCCCCACTCAACCCAATTTGAATACTTCGGTAACTCAAAGACCGCAATGAAATATCCCGCTCGGGATCCCACTGAACGCGCACTGGACTAGCACGCAGCTTCTTCTGCCACTTCTCCTTGCTTGTCTCCTCGCCAGGCGTATAGTGACTCAAACAGGAATGACGCAATGCCCATTCGAATCCCTCGCGGGTAATCTCTATTGCCAGGACACGCTCCTGTCGGGGCTTTTTTGCCCAACCTGATCGGTATGCCATCCATAGGAAAGAGGGCTTGATCCAGGTCATTCTCTCCCGTGAAAATGGAGGGACGAACTTTTGGGCTTTGATTGCTGGTTCAGCTATCTCAGGGGAATAGGCTTGGTACACAGTGATTGTACTTGGGGTTTGTTTGGCTCGGATGGCTCTGTACGTATTTGAGGCCATTGTTGGATGTGTTGGATGTGTTGGATGTTGAAGAGCTGTGGAGGTTCGTATTGCAGGACACAGAATATTCATGTGCGGAGAATAGGAATTATGCGATGATGGAGTGAGAACTTGTAGTAAGTGTGAGAAATGGGACTTGGACCTTGAGATGTCTATAGAAATACCTTTGCTTTTAAACAAATAAATAAGTACCTACATATATATAGGTAGACTTCGTAGTACTGACTCATAAAATCAAGTCTACACCAAACTTAATCGGGACTCCGCAATATACGAGTAAAGCTTGTTGCGTCCATCACGAAGGACATTTGAGGCTCTATAAGGACCGTATGGTCCCTATTAGATAGTACTACCTAGGTGCATGTGTGTAGTTATTAGCATAATACAGTGCTGTAATTCTAATTTACATAACGGTATAGTCCCAGGATGAGTATGGACCTAAATCCTCTCAACCCAAATCTTTTCCTCTCCCCTTGCTCTCTCCCAGGTAGCCCCTAGGGTCCAGGGCTTTTTTTTCAATGCTAATTCAAAACTCAGGATCGTAGACCTTGGTACAGAAAACCCCCAAAATTCTCATTGTGTGTCGAAAGCACCAGGAAATGCTCCCCAGTTACATGCTGGAACCTGACCGTTTCTGGCCAGGTCATGTCCTTCCGGTCGGCGCGCAGAACATCTTCGTTGTCCAAATACACGGTGACATCATTGTAGCCTGCGTGAGTGTACGTACTAGTATATTTGGCCAATGGTAACATCGGTAGGAAAATGATCGGCGGACGATAGTTGCTGCTGCCTGGAGATCCCGAGCCGCTCGTCTAGAAGATGGAATACGAGGAGCTGGGCGGCATAATTGGAGGTCTGCACTGTATTCGCCAGAATAATCGCGCCAAATTGGGGTTTAGGGACTAGAAGGATTTGCGCGCCGAATGTATTCATACTCCAGTTATTTTCAAAAAATTTTATACCCAGGTATCACCCAGTCCTCCAGCCTAGGGCATAGGCTCTGGGACCCGCGAAAGGGGCCTCCGCAGCCATCAGGGTCCGCGGCTGCCATGGCTGGTGCACAGTCTCTGGGCTCCAGAAGATTTGTTCTCGACCAAGGTCTGCGATCGGAGTAAAGCATGCACCCACTTCGCGTAATCGAGGACGTTGGTGATGATCGCCCCAGCATCGGAGACCTCCTACACTGGCCTCCAATCTGCTTTGTGGTAGATGTTGTCATCGCGCGGGTCGCCACCACCATGGGCGGAGTAGTAGTACATAGCCCTGAGTCAAGGTTTTGGGGGCCGCCTGCGCATCGTCCAAGGCGAAGTAAGTGTCGATCATCCCAAGTGGTTGAGAGTGGGCCAGACAGTCGCCCAGCCATTGGCCTGTCACGGTCTTGATGATACGGGAGGCCACCACATACATAATATTGGAATATTGATACCGGGTATAGAGCTTAGCAGTCAGCGGAAGGTGAGCGAATCGACGGACATTCTTGCGGACGCTGGTGCGAGAGCTAGCGTGGTCGTGAGACGGGAGCCCGGCCCGATGCGATAGTGCATCTTCAGTAATCTGGCCCACCACGCATTTATCTGGTAATGCAAAGTCCCCGGGGAGCAATTGGCTGATGGGCGTGTCCCACTGGATCTTTGTCGCGGGATCCTCTGTAAGTTTGGCTAGCATAGCCGCGGTGAAGACATTAGGAATAAAAAGCCTGGACGCGAGTAATAAGCATAGGGAACAAAAATATGATTTATTAAATAGACAAAAGTCCAATGCAAAGACACGGGTTAAAGAGAGGCAAGATATTAATAAACGATAACATACAATGATTACTTAGGAGTTGATGAAACAATGCATCTTTAACAACGCTTTTCATGATATTAGTAGAATAAATAAGAGTTCAAAGGTTTATAGTAGCAGTTAGTGATTCGACAACTGGTTATCTTGCAAAACACCGATTAATGTGTTTATAGTGCGGCTCTGGATCTGCTACCGCCCACAGAACTATAAACGTTTAAATTCGAGAAGCAAACATCGAGACTACTGGCCAATTTTGTATAGGGTCTACAGGAATAAAAACATTAACTTGCGACAGATATACACGCCCATAATTTGTCAGAGAAACCGTCTACAAACTCTTCAGGAATGGCTTCTAATCAAAATATCATTGTCAGAGTCCAAAGAGCACGTTCGAAGAGCACCGAATGGGACGATGATCTTCGCCAACTTCACGAATAGAAAAAAGACAAGGCTTAAGCAAGATCATATGGCTAGACCACATCCGGGGGCAGTCTCACCATCCTCCCCAGGAGGAAAAATCCGCGGTTGGCAGAACAGAGCAGTTGGGCATTCGCGGCCCCTAAAGACTATTTTCAATGTCCTTGTCACTTCCTCTAAATGCCGACCAGAAGCGCATATGGGCCTCCCGGGCACGCTTTTTGTCAGTCTCGGCATTATCCTGGAGTGCTCCTGAAGTCTCGGTTCGCTCCAAGAGGGAGACTTCAAAGGTGCGGTCGATGCACAACTTGGTAACAACACCCGAATTGATCAGGCGCTCAGTGTTCTCCCTGACCCGTTCGTGGGCGATGGGGTCGTCTGGCTTGCATGCTATGAGGATGTGGTTTTCCCCAGCCGCGTTAACGGGCGGGTGGTCGAGGCGGGTCTAGGTTACCTGAGTCAGTAATGGACTGGGGAGATATGAGCTAGAATAAATAAATATCTTACGGTATGGGCACCGGATGGATGGAGGAGTGGTCTTTATGGTCAAGACACTCTCACCGAGGGGGATCTCGGTGCTGGTATTGGCTAAGGTGGTGGCATCTGACTGCTCATCAAGCTGCTGGTTGTATTGGACCACGGCTTGTCCCCAGGCCTCGTATTCGGCAAGGCTCTCAGAGCGTTGAAAGGCTATAAACTCCTCAAAGGAGAGTGGGAGATGATGATGCTGCTCCATTTTGTAAGTGTTGGGTTGGTGGGGTAACTTGATGATGTTAGCTCAGATGGATAAAGGTGAAGATGTTGGTATGGTCTGAAACATTGACAAGCCGATTTTGGGGGACTGAGATGAGAGACGTCTAAAGAGGTGCCATATCAAGGTTGATGACCAGTTGATTCTGTCTCAATCGCATTTTCAACTGACATAATACCAATCGATTCCTTCCATATGGAAGGAGTGACGGCCATATTTACTAGGCACTATACTTACAGCAGGAGCACACAGGGTTTACTACGACCTTAGAAGGAAACTATGACCAGCTATTTTTCTGATTGATATTGTATTATCTTGGTGGACAAGCCAACCGTTTAATGAGCGAAAGTAAATACAGGATTCAACATCCAGTGAACGAGATATCAAGACGTTATGAAGCGATTTCTTCCAGATGAGCCCGAGTACATCCTTTTTTCTACCAGCTTCTAATTGTCAATGTACAGTTCGTACCTAATTAGGAACTCCCGAGCGTGGCCCAAATCAACCAAAAAGCCATATTACATACGGATCGATTGATCAATATGAAAGTAGCCCTTCTTTAATTCAGATACATCGACCGACGCAAGAGGCCGGGTCATTGGTTTAAACGATTGAACCAAGGATAGGTATATATACACACTTCAGCATAATATCAACAAAATAATCCAATAATCTTTAAATCCCACGAACTTCAAAGCTTCGCTTTCCCATTCTTCTCAAGCTGTTGTACAGCCTCCAACCCTCTTTCCCGAACAACAATGTTCTTATCTTCAACCTTCTCCCGCCACTGCAAGTTTCCAGCATGATCATCCAATCCACTCAAAACCCGAGAATACATCTCCTCTTTCATGGTGCCGTAGATACCTGTCGCGGCTTTAGTCTGAAGCTTGCGGGTCTTAATAAGCGCAAGCGCTTCCTCGGCTCCACCAACGGCGTCAACAATACCAGCTTGGAGGGCATTGCGTCCACCAAAGCGATGAGCTTCTAGAACAACATTTCGGAAGGTGGCTGGCGTCAGCTTCTCGCGGAAGATAGCCATCATAGGCGTCTGAAGCGGGACGCCGAATTCTAGCTCGTTGACACAGAGGAAACCACGGTCCGGGTTCATGATTCGGTAGTCGTGGTACATGGCCAACATGAAGCCGCCAGCAAAAGCGTGTCCGTTTAGTAGGCACACGGTTGGCATGGGGTATCTGGAGCGGGTCAGTATTTCTTTTCCCCCCCCTTTTAGAAACTATGCGTGACTGGACTATATCCTCAAATTAATAGTGTGAAACAAGAACATACATCAAAAGTCGTCGGAACAAGCGCCACAGCCAGTTCTCAAGGAACCCTTCGGTTTTCGCGACAATATCGAGATCAAGCCCATTGCTGTAGAACTTGACAATTCCACTAGTAGTCACTACAACACCGTTGGGGTAACGGTGCTCGATAATATCGAGAGCGAGCAGTAGAGCATCAATGAAAATGGGTGTCAGTCGGTTGTCCGGGGGTGAAGTAAAGGTGAGCACATAGATGGTTTCATGCTCTTTCGCTGTACTAGGGTTTGTGCAGATGATCGAGCCTCCAGTAGAGCTTATCGGTACAGTGAAAAGAGTCGCCATGATGAGAATGTTTGGAAGAAGAAAGTTGTGGAGAAAACGCGAGAACTATCTTCAAATACGATCGGCTATTTGAATATTGAATACTAATCAGACCTCGGCGTCATCACATGCTACCGCCAATGATATCATCACGTGACGAACGAAGCCATTCAGATTAGTTGTTGAGGACAAAGGATTGCTGGTGATGTTTAGTATCTGGGAAGATTTTCCGGTTCAAGAACCACTGGAGACAATGTATTAGTGTCCAATCTTCCTTGATGGGGTTGGCTGCCAACTGGCATGCTGCACTAAGCTTTAACTAAATGTATAGCAGAACGTTCTACTATAGATCACAAAAAGAGATACAATTGAAAGCTTTTAATAGCGGAACTGATAGCGGAAAGGACCAGGAAGACTGGGTTCAGGTCTCGTAGGCTTTATCTTCGCAAAGGTACTCTACCGCGTACGTGCTAAACGGGTAAACTTGCAAAGTGATTGGGCATAGGGGAGTAAAGGTTAGACATAGATAGCCAATAGTGCAGGACGGTCTGAATTGGTCACTTATGGTAGTTATTATATATGCTCTTCGCTGAACAAGTACAAGATTGGTCAGCCGTATATGCGGCTTTTATATTTTAATGATCTTATTTATCTGGCTTGTGATGATACCAGGGAAGTTATATATATAGAATAACACCCCGGTGTCTTTTTAAAAATTCTTTTTAGATCTCTTTTCAAATGTCTGTTTTTCAGTTGTTTGTAACTAAAAAGATACGTAATCATAAGCTGTAGAAGTGCCACGAGGAATGGGAATAATATCACAAAGTAGTCGCCACCTACTTGCCGATATCCTGACCGAAGAGAATCAATTACCTCGGCAAACCGAACATCATTCTCTACTTGACCAAAATGCATCACAAACCAGGTCTAAACACCGCTGTTTTCTATGAAAAAAGAAAAAGGCGGGGTACAAGTGTAATAAACTATTGGGAATATCGACCACGTGGGATCTAACGCTCCTTAACACTAAGCGTCATCTGAGACCACTCGCATCAATGACAAATTCCACACCCACTCTACAACAAGCCGCCGTGGTGCAAAACCCAGGAGAAAATGCAACAATCACTCTTCAAAATGATATACCTGTCGCAAGTCCCGGACAAAATGAAGTTCTCATCAAATTAACCTGCACCGGTCTCTGGTAAGCGCTTCCTTTTGAAGATAAACACACCACCACAAATTAACTCAAATACGTACCGAAAAGCCGCTCAGAGCTCCGTGCAGTATTAGCCTGGGGCGCATACAACTCCATCATCGGCCACGAAGGAGTCGGAACTGTAGTGAAAGCCGGACCCGAAGTCTCGGAATCCTTCCTCGGCGAGCGCGTCGGCGTCAAATGGCTCTACAGCGCATGCAGCACATGCTCAGTCTGCAAACGAGGATTCCCACACAATTGTGCGCAACAGCTCAATACAAGTCGTCATGTGCCTGGAACATTGCAGCAATATGTTATTGCCGATGCACGGTTCCTGACACTGATCCCCGACCGTGTTGCTGATGAAGTTGCGGCGCCATTGCTATGTGCGGGACTTACGATGGTTGGTGCTTTGTCGAAACTTGATAATGAGCTGCAGGCTGGGGACTTTGTTGTTATTTCGGGGTCTGGTGGCGGGTTAGGGCATGTTGGGGTGCAAATTGCCGTGAGGATGAAAGGGTTGCGAGTTATTGCTGTTGATAGTGGGGATGATAAGAGAGCGTTGAGTTTGGAGTCTGGGGCGGAGGTTTTCTTTGATTATAAAACTGATGATGTTATTGCTCGAGTGCGTGAGTTCACTGGAGAGGGCGCGCATGCCACAGTCGTTGTGCCAGGTACGAAGGAAGCGTTGAAGATGGCACCTAACCTGGTGAGGAATATGGGGTTCGTTGTGAATGTTGGCTTGCCGCCGAATGACTTGGATATTCCCCTTTCGGCTACGCTCTGCACAGCAAGAGGTAAGATGAGGATGCGGTCTTACGGTCAAAATAGTGTACTAACCCTCGGAACAATAGGTCTCACCTTTATAGGGTCATCTGTGGGCACCGAAACTCAATTAGTAGACTTACTGCAAGCAGCGGCTGTTGGTACGATATCGCCATCGATTGAAGTTTTTGATTTCTCGGCTGTGCCGACTTTGATCGAGAAACTGAGGGAGGATGGTATTACGGGAAGAGCAGTGGTCACATTACCACAGTAGTTTGACATTCCATACTGCCATTTTAACCAAATGCTATTACTGAGACATGTGATTAAATGATGGTACGAATATAGAGGGGGACTTATTTGGAGGCGAATTAATTCCCTCCCATAACTAAAATAAGGCAAATCCCAAGCCTACCACCCAACTCTTCCAAATCATCAACAATACTCCACTAGCTATGGCTCAATCAATAAAACCCAAAAGGCTAGCTCCAAGCCCCGAGCTATCAGAAAAAAAAATACGCGCAGGAATTATCAAAGCTCTATCTACACGTCGGGCGATTCACTGCTTACAGCATGAAAACGCGTTTTGAAGAACGCAAAGATATGGCTTCAAAGCCCAGATCAGGCCGTCCCTTTAAGTTGAGTGACCAGACTACACGTTACATTGCACGCTTGGCGAGGAAAGATAATCGACTTCGCTGGGCTGCTATTGCTGCAAGTGTTGATATGGGACTCTCGAGGTCAACAGTGAGGCGTGTTGTATGCGGTAAATATGCCCCCCACCCCCAAAAAAGACTCAATGAAAGACCCAATAAAAGACTCCAAAAAAAGACATCAAGAAAGACCCAAGACAAACATTCAACACCTACGGTTAAGAAATTTACTAAGCAGGCAGTTCGTGGAAAGGGCGCGAAGACTGCAGAATGAGAGAATATCATCTGGTTTGCACTATTGATTGACTCATGCGAAACTTGAAAAACAGTTCATTGTTCATGCACATGTACTTGCGAGATTAATGAAGTCGAGGAACTATAACGAAGACAACCTCTTCCGAGATACCTCAAGTCCCTGTGCAATGCTCTCCTCCAACGAAGTCCACCCTTCCCGTCCACAGAATTCCCGCAAAAGCCTTTCTGCTTCCTTGGCGGGGATGACTTCGCTCAGATCACGTCCATCGTCAGCAGGAGGTTCAGGAATCAAAGTATTATTAGGTCGCAGCTTTCGAACGACCGAGATCATATCGGTGAGGTTCACGGGGGCAGCAAATCCGAAGAGTCGCCGAGATACGGTATTTGGGTCGAGGAGGCCCGCTACGTGGAGACGTGCAATGTCGATGACATCGCAGAAGTATTCTGTTTTTGCATGTCAGTTATGACCAACCACCAATCTAACACCAGTTGGTGTGCACTTACGCGGCACAAATGTCTTAAAAATATGTGTATCTCCCTTGGCTAGGCCGGAGACCCAACCGGATGTCGAGCCGGGGATTTCTTCGTGTAGGATTCTCCCGAGCTATTCCGAGTCAATATCGTACGTTTTGAATGGCAGGCCATCGGACTATAAAACTCACGGTAAAATCAGGTAACACGGTATTGAATTGGAAGCCCGGTTTGTTCTTCTCCACCCACTTCCATGCTGCTTTCTCTCCCTCGGTCTTGGAGGCAGCATAGCCGAACATACCCTTCATATGCTCTGGAGCATCTGGATTATAAGCTTGCTTGATAGCCTCGTCATTCCAGGAATCTAGATGCAGTGTCAGCCAACGCATCCTTCTCTTCCCTTCTCTAGGAATTGGTCTCTCACCCTCTCGAACAACAATACCCTCCTTATTCGGCTCTGCAAACAACGCCGCGACCGCAGAAGAGGTCATGACAACCCGTCTGATATCAGAATGTCTTGAGGCAGCCTCGAGTATATTATGAGTAGCTCTCAATACCCACGGCACGACCTCTTCCGGATTGGAGCTGAAGGTGACATCTGATGCCTATTCATCGCAACATCTCGTTAACACACTCTCTCATACTCGAATCCCATTTCCCCTAGCAAACACATACCACATGTGCCACCCCGGATACACCATCCATAACCCTAACCAGAGTATCCACATCCTCAAAGTTAGCTAGAACAACAGACTCATACGAGTCCCGCCCGAACTTATCCCGGAACATCTCATCGAGCCATGGTTTAGTCGAGCGGACAGTCCCGCGCACCCGGAACCCTAGTTCAAGCAGACTGTGGACGACATTACTCCCAATGAAGCCGTTGGCGCCGGTCACCAGGATCCGCGAACCGCGAGGCAGATAGTAGGTTTGTGAATCCATGGAGTAGATGTCGATGGGTGTTTCTGTTCACCCTGGGTGGAAAATAGGGAGAAGAACCATCGCGAGTAAGCGAGCGGGCAAACTGTGGAGTCGAATAAAGTTCCCCTAATTCACCCTCGGACGTTGAAATGGGTTAGGGGGTTGAGCGGGTTGGGTGACATACTCCCGGGCCCCGTTGGTCGGTTTGATTAGTTGGTTGACTGGAAATTGGTCCACATCCAAAAGAATGCGGTGCCACTAGGCCGGGGATAGACGGGATAGGGATATTGCTGTTGACGTTTAGGAGCCCCGGCAGTTCGGGTCAATACGACGATCTGTGCGGAACGAGGCGTTCGTTCGCCTGGAAAGTGGACATCGTAGCGTTGATGGGTCACATCTGTTGATTTAGTACGAAATAAAGAGTGATTTATCAGGCACATGAGGATATTCCATAGACCTTACCTAAAAGGTCAACATTGTACTTGGAAGTACGCCCGGGGACATTGCCATTGTTGTACTCCCCACTCTGCTCTCATTGGCCAAGATCCCTGACGTCATTAAGCAGGTATATACCTGTCACTTTCTTCAGCTGCTGAGTTACACAAAACATCTTGAACATATTCCCTTATAGTCCAAGTCTTGGAATACAAAATCTATTTCATCACGTCGTATCACCATGCAAACTCGCTCACAGACCAAAGACCAACCCTCCCAACCTCCCAAACAAGCCGCCTACGCCCAATCCTCGAATCCCGTCACACACACGCCACAAGAGCAACGAGCAAGCACCGAACCGGTTCGACACTACGGCGACACAATCGGGACAATTAAACGCACAGCGGAGTCAAAACCATCCAGCGATGAAGAACGCGCTCGACTGAGCGCACAACATCACCAACACGAACAAGAACTGCATAATGCACCCGACGTCGATCTAGAATACGGTGTAGAACAGCAGCCTGCTGAGGGGTATATTGCGGATACTGTTCAGCGTAAGGGGATGGGTATGCAGCGTGCGCAGGCTGGTGCGCATGCTGGTCCGGTTGGGAGTGCGGGTGGGCCTGGTCATCCTGGTCTTCGGGAGGCGGATGACCTGGCGGCGAATTTGGGGGCGAAGAGGGTTGAGCATGATCGAATTCTTGGTGATAGGGTTGGGAGGAGTCCGGCGGAGCCGGAGGGGGGGGGTTGCTGGAAGGGAGGCTGCTAGACGACATAAGTTGGAGCAGGATGAGAAGTTGGATGTGAAGGGGGCGGTTAAACAGGCTACTGGTGATCCTGTGGTGGGTAAATAAGCAATGAAAGTATCTCGGCGATAGATTTGGGTTTGATCCTGGAGTGGAACTGGCGGACTGTATCTTATGTAGTTGGGAGATTTGGACATAACCTTCATTAAGTATTTCGAGCTAGCTAAGCGCTGCTTGTGTCAACATGAAAACCGGACTCGCTCTCGGTCAAACAAACTGGGTATGATTATTGAAACGATAACGCCGAAAGAAATTCCACCATTGAACATAAAATGTGAAAGAAGGAGATCAGATATCGTCCCCAGCTGGCATGCCCATAGAAACCTTCTTCAGTTGCAGATCCTTCTTCAATTCCTGGATACGTCGGCCCATCTTGTTGCGCAGAATGTGATTTTGCACCTTCTCCCACTGTGCAGTTTCAGTTCGGATGAGAGCCTCTAGCTCGGCGACTTCCTCACGCTGTTGCTGAAGTTGTTGTTGCTGTTCGATTTGATCGTCATCTAGCTCATCATCTTCGTCCTCGTCGGATATGTTGCTCTCATCGGCAGAGGTGTCGCCGCGTTCGGTCGGTCCTCCAGCTGGCGTGAAAGGCTGCATGGATGGAGTATCCACCTGCTCTGGTCCTGGCCCGGGTGCCTCATCGTCGCCGGCAGCCAATGCGGCTTCCATCTCAGCGGCAAGGGCATCCTCGAAGTCATCCATCATCTCTTCTTCCGCTTCGCCGTATGCATCCTGCTCATCATCATATTCATCTTCATATTCTCCCGATTGCACCAAGCCCTCGACGCGATTCAGGGATGTGCTGTCCACCAATTCAAACTTGGGAGGGAAAATCGAAGTTTCGTCTTGGGCCATGAGTTCTTCCACAGCCTTTTCAACTTGTTCAATGGTGCGTGTGCTAACACGGTCGCGGAATCGCCGCTTGCGAACCCAGCGGAGCGGTGGTGCGATACCGTGTGCGTATTGAAGTGTCTTTTCATCGGGGGAGTCAACGCCCTGGGGAAGTGGGTATTCCAAAGCTTCTTGGTCACTGTTGACGCGTCCCAGCACCAGGAGCATTTGACAGATGTCTGCTGACTTGTACCAGCCTCGTCGGTCCCAACTCTTCATGCCCTCGACGATGCAGGGTAGATCCACTAGAGCTGCCGCATATTGGTGACCCCGAACATTCAAGATGGAACGCCGGCCCTCACGTGTGAGGGGTTTGAGCCCGACCTCGCCAGTCTTGAATGTCCTATCGCTGATTGACTTCCTCACAATATCACAGTCCTCTCCTGGGAGCATTCGTAGGATAAATTGTTCTTCGATGGCAGGATCATTTTCGGTGTCGGAGGCTTCGGAGTCATACCCAACGCCCACCGGTCGGTTGGGAACGATTCCCTTGTTTTTGATGCGGATTGACTGGAGGGCAGGTTTCTTAGATGGTATGAGCTTTATTCGCTTGGGGCCTTGTAGGCTCGTCTCGGGTTCCGGCTCCGGCTCGGGCAGCGCGACACTTTCGGCCGGTCGCTTCTTTGTTGATTTCTTTTTCTTTGGTTTCTCTTCACTCAGCTCGGGTTGTGATTTTCGCGCAATCTTAAGTGTGATCTTGCGTGGGGGTTGAGGAGTTTCGGCCACTGGGGGCGCAGGCGCAGGTACAAGCGCGGGTGGAGGTACGGGTGTTGGTTCTTCTGCTGGTGGGGGGTCTGGTCTCCTTGAGAATTTGATTTTTAATGGCATGATGACGATATAAGAGCCACCTGCCTATGTGAGAAGTAACAAGTGAATGAAGACTGAGAGGCGAAGGAGGGTGGAGGATGTGTGGAGAAAGTGAGGAAAACGTCGGAGAGCGGAAAGGTTTCTTCCGACCTCTAGGGACGGCCCTTAAACTGCGTATCCCACACCCTGAATGCTATAGATTCCATCTCCTGAGGGCCCAGCACAAAATCTGATCCGTTCTTTGGCTTTTTCCGGGTGTATATTTTTTCGTAGGGTACTCGAAAGCTCCCTGAAACTCTCGAGCATTTTGGGGCAGGATGACGGACAATTTCAATCTTTTGGCGAGGGACAGGAGCTCGATTTTGGCCTCTTGATCTCCATTCCTCAACAGATATTTTGCCCCTTCTGTGAACGGTTACTGTAACGGCAACATTGACTTGATCATTGGATTCAGTCAACCAGAACTTCACATCCTCCTCCACCTGCACTCTTCTCTCGGCCCAGGCGACTTCGACGGCTATAGTCGGCCAGTCCGTTGCTCTACCACCTGCAGAATATGCAGGGCGCCACCCTGAATCCGGGTGTTTGTTTTTGTTCGAGCTACCTCGAAAATTCGCAGCACGCGTAGCAACCAGGGGGTGATTCAAGTCGTTTCCAGCCCAAGCAATGAATAGTGCCTCAAAAGCTCCTGTTGCTGCCTCATGAATGGTGCTTACAGGCATTTCGATAAACAGGTGGTTAGTGGAAGGTTCATACAACTTCCATGATGTTCTGAGTAGGCGTTCTTCCCCATTATCAAAACAATCGAGGAAAGAACGATCATCAATAATAAAGATAATGTACGGGTTCATTATGCCCATATACTCCTCATATTGGTTGTATCGGCGCTCTAAAATCTGGAGACAATCTTGAATCCCCCTAAACTCGTATTTCGGAGTATCCGAAGGAAGAACATCTTCATACATGATACCGATAAACCAAGTGAGAAGAAATTTTAGGGTAGGCTATACGGAATCCACCTATAGATACATTGGCAAAACGTACAATATGTAGGCTTGAAGTTCTCGAGTGGCAAAAATATGACAAAATAAGATCATCATGTACCTAGCTCATCCCCTTAATGCCTGATATGTTCCAGGGTTGCTCAGGTGCTATGATTTGCTTATTTCTTCCGAAGGTACTAGTGTTATCTAAATACTTTGGAGTTAAAGTGCCAGTACTTTAACATATTCCTTACCTCGCTCTAACTTTCGAGGATAAACCTGGCTTTCATCTCATTAACAAACTCGCGTGCTTTTCATAATGTCAGGCCCAAACCTTCACAACACTCTCTTTCGCCCTCCGATTATCCAAATCGTCCGCGCTCGAGGCTCCCACTCGACACGCCCTTCAGACTTAGAATCTATTCAGGACCTGACTGGCCGGTATCTTATCATTCTCGCCGAGTATGTAGCTGAGTATGCCGCAAATGCCTACCCGTACGACCCAGAGGATGGAGGATGGAGGATGAAGGATGGCCCCGGGGAGTGAGGTTACATAATAGGCACGCCAGGCCGTCCACGTTGGAGGAACTAAGCAAAATGTACAACCTTGGAACATATGAGCTAAATGACGCTCTTACTTTGTCATTTTTGCCTCGAGAAATAAAAGCCTGCATTTTTCTATGTGTACACATATAGCGTACACTAGTCTAACTTGTTTTATCACCCGGCATCATGGCCTACGCAGACGTTCTTCCTTCCACAACGCCAAAATATGAGTTTAAGGGAATCCAGCATTGTCTCCAGATTGTGGAGGGGCCAGGGGAGGAAGATGAGCAATGTGAAGGGTATATGGATTCACGTAATCCGTATGTTATTTTTACTATTGATGAGCGTTCCTTCCTCGATTGTTTTGAGAATTCCGAAGAAAGCTCCCTCGGAAAATCTTGGGAGTGTTATGACCCTTCTATTAACGAGCTTCTCGTCAAAATTATGGAGACCGGACCTCATGCAGTAGGAACTACTGCTTTCACTCGTATGTTCCTTGCATGGAGCGAACCATACAACCCAAATTATCCGCTCGTCGGCACAGGAACGAACGTATATCGAGGTAGTTCAAACAAGAAGAAACGTGCCGATTGTTCATGGACGCCGACATATTCAGGGCGTGACAATAGATGGCCGACCATCGCAGTGGAAGTCGCGTGGTCAGAGCCCCGGGGGAAGATGATTAGGGATGTGAATTTCTGGTTGAATGAATCTTCTGGACAGGTCAACATCGCGCTTACAGTCAAAATATATGAGTGCGGAAGGATATCCATTGAACAATGGAAGATGGGCGCCCGCGCTCCAGTCCCCGTTCAGAAAATTGAGATCGCGAGGAACCCGGCACCAAAGTGTGAGAAGATCCAGGGAAGCATGCGACTCTCATTTGAGGATATCCACCTTAGACCCAAAGGGCCAAATGACACTGACTTTATCATAAGTCATCGTGATCTGGAGATTCTAGCGGATCAAGTCTGGTATCAACAGGACCAACCAACAGGACCAACAGGGCAACTCTAGATAAGAGCTTGTCCGCCTCCGCCTTTGGATCCCGCCCAAATGCCCGCTCTCTTCAACATTCATTTCACACTTCCTTCGCGACCTCGCTCCACCTTTCTTCACCTACATATTAATTGCCACTGCGTTCATCCCATTAACAAAATCGTGTGTTTCTTTTTATTTCTTTTATTTTTTTTTCTTTCTTATTCTTTTTTTGCCTCTGCTTCTCTGCCATAATGTCAGGCCCAAACCTACACAACGCTCTCCTCCGCCCTCCGATCATCCAAATCCTCCGCGCTCAAGGCTTCCACTCGACGCGCCCTTCAGTCTTGGAATCTATTCAGGACCTGACTGGCCGGTATCTGATCATTCTCGCATCATCTGCAGCTGAGCATGCCGCAAATTCACACCCATACGACCCAGTTCCGGATCTCGAAGACATCTACCAAGCTCTGCAGGATGCAGGAGCCATACGACCACAATTACGTGAATGGGAAGAGGAATGGCAGGGAGAAGAAGATATGCGTGGTCTTGATGCTTTCCTCAGCTGGATCACTGGCCCTGCCCACCGTGAAATTCGACGTGTTGCCGGCTTCGTGCCCAGCGAAGGTGACATGGTGGACCCTGACGCCGTTGAGAAGGAGGATTACTTGACCGCATTGAAGAAAAAACACAGCAAGACTGGCGAGGAGTCCCGATACGCTGGAACTGTCCTGGGGAAACATGCTGAGGAACACCCAGTCGTCATTGAGGGTGGTGCCCCCAGCATCGAAGACTGGGGTGCGCAGGTTCGCGCCCGGGCTTCAGTGGCAATGGATAGCGACAGTTCGGGTGTAAGCAGCGCACCGAGTCATCTCTCCGATGACGAAACGATGGGGGCGTGAAGCGCTTCACACGGCCTCATGAATTGTTTGGCTTTTGAAAGAGTCGCAAAGCTTAAATCTCTACTTCACCAATGTGCCCAGACCTGAGCCGACACGTCACACCCGGTTGTCCTTCCACTCGGATTGTCTTTCATCTCTACTACCCGATTTGAAACATAAACAGCCCACCACCATCTACCGGGACGGTCAAAACCAGTCCTCACCAGTGGTCGCCGACATTGTTCCGACTTGACTCGAACCATGATCATCGCCCCAACCTCACTGTTCAAAGGAGACAAACCTCATTGAATGGCTCAACCACAGAACGACACCTACATGACCCACGATATCTTGTGGGATGGGTATGAAAGCCCGATGTGTAGATTCAAGCGGATTCAGTCTGTTTAGCAGGTGCAAATTGCCAGGATTTCGTTTAATCGGCGATTAACATGGGATTTGATTCTTGTCTTCATCTGAGCATTCCAGCAGATGTATTTCTCTGCCTATCCTAGGAGCTCACGAGAAGCCCGTCATATGATCTACACGTTCCCTAGGTGTGTCTACCGGAAGAAGATGCTCTAAGAAATATCAAATATTCGGCGGCTTATACGGCCTTGCCATGGCTTTTTAGTAGTCCTTTCGGCAGTTGTTTTGGTAGTCTTTTAGGTAATCCTGTTGGTAGTTCACGGGTCCGCTTAGATAGCTTCTCGTACGAAGACGTATAGGTGCCAGGGTTCAAAACCCCCTGTAAGGGGATTTTGATGCCTGGATACCTGAAGTAGTACCGCTTTATACACCGCCTAATACAGAGTACTGTAAATTGCTAATACATCAACCTGCCTAGATGAAGCTTTTGGACCGCATACAAATTCAGGTATCTCCATTATTTCTGGCGGTTGCAAGTCCAAAAAATTAAAGCTTAATAATAGAGATACTTGAATTTGTATGCAGTCCAAAAGCTTCATTTTTTTAGACTGGCAACCGCCAGAAATAATGGAGATATTTGAATTTGTATGGAGGTAAAAAGCTTCATTTTTTTGGATTTGCAACCGCCAGCAGAATCAGGGTACTTTCACCAACAAGGTATATGTAATAGTAATTCAGGTATTTTAATTTTTCTGCCGTTCTAAATTAAGGCATTCTGGCATAAAATCCCCCTAGTTAAAAGGGGGTTTTGAACCCTGGCACCTATACGTCTTCGTACTTCTCGCCCTTCTCGGCTTTAGAGGCAGACAGCAGAAAAGGCCGACAAAAAGCCTTGAAAAATGTAGATTGATTAGAATATATGACCTTCAACATAGTATATACAAGAAGTGAAACAACAAATTATACATGACCGAAACATAGCACCCTAATGAAGCCGGTTAAGGAACTGGCTGGTAGCTTCCTTTGCTGCGCAATTCACTTTGCCTCCATCTCAACTTTGACTGCTCCAACGTCGTGAGCTCTGCGCTATATTGACCATCGTTTAACGCTTGTTGTAGACGGCCACTCCGGCGTTGCTTTAAACAAAAGAATAAAAATGCACCAACCAGAAGCGCGCCAGCAACAGCGGCACCGCAGTACACACCGATGTGAGCCCCCTGGCCCAGATCATCCCATTTCTCGGATAGCGTCTTGGCTGGTTTCTTGTTGATTTGCGCTATGGCGGTTGAGTTTCCACTGCGAATTGAAGTTAGTCACCGAAATCATTGAATCCTGGCTTCAAAACAAAACTCACCTGACCACTTCAATACTCTCACGGGTGCCGGTGGTCCCATTGTACTTGTACTCCTTTCCGGTGTGGAAATCCTGAACTCGGACCTTCGATACACTCATAGTGAACGGAACATCGGACCAGTTAACCAAACCACCACCCCAATCCAGATTGCCTTGTGACTGTCCCTTGACTCCAACCGGCCAATTGCTAATCTTGACCTGACACGGTGTTTGGGGGTAGTTTTTGCCGTACACAGTCAACGGCTCGGAGTAGTTCACCGTCCGCACCAAGTCGCCATCAATCCACCATTCAAGACGATCTTTATCCCAGTAAGAGGTGTAGTTGTGGAACTCGGTGTCTGCATTTGAAACCGCGTGATATCCGCCCCGATCACTGGTGGTTGTGTTTCCCTTGCCGAAGAAATCGGATTGCACTCCGCTCGTGTTGTATCCAACCCACTCCCAGTCGATCTCATCCAGGTCGTCGGATTGCAGGATGACACTGCTGATGATACCGGCTCCCTTTGCCATCTTAACGTGTGCTTCCATCACGCCGAAGAAAATGTAGAAGTTGGATACTAGGAGAGTTGACGAGTTTTCGGTTTTCATGGAGAAGTCGGCGCCTTCGGATGTGTAGTCCAGAGTTCCAGTTTTCATGGTCCAGAGGTCAGTGTCGAGAGTTGAGTTGAAGAGCCATGTGTGCTCGGTTCCAAGGGCAGGATCCGCACTACATGTCGTGTTCTTGAGGGGGTTGCAATCCGTTCCGGTGTATTCAGCAGTGGCATTTGCGATCCCGACAATGGTAATCAGGGGCAGAAGCAAGCACGAAACCCAGGATCTCATGATGTTGGAATTCTGTATCGACGCGGTATGCTCAATCCGATCCTATTACCCACGCGATACAGCTTTATATCGCAATTTCTGCAATGGGAGTATTACGATAGCTGGAGAGATGGATGTGAAAAAAATCAACATCTAAGAAATTCATCCACAAAAAGAGATGATGGAGTCCGTGGATGTGAGTTTAATAGCTGGAAAATCGCCATGACTGCTAGCAAAATCAAGATTAGGGAGGTCAATAAGCGAGATAGCAAAAGGCATTAACCATTGCTGTAATTAGAACGTTGCCCATACTTAGTCGAGCTTAGCGTCGAAAAGTGTCGCAGACGACTCATCCAGTTGAGACTGAAGTTATGGAGACTAATGTTATCGCCGAGTCCGAAAGGAAAGCTTTTTCGAAGCTTGACTCTGCGCTATGTACTAGTGAGCTCCTTAGCGTAAATTAACCAGCCTTATTGCGTTAGTCGCCAGTTAAAGGCCCACTGCCAGCGTAATTAACTGGTCGTTCTAACGGTGCCGATTGGCCACGCTATTTTGTTAAGCCCGCTAACATCCGCTCTCAGGAACAGATCAGGAACAATATCCGATCATTGGCTATTCTTGTCTATAAACAGAAGTTGAGGAAATTAAAAAGTGGAAAAGGAAAAGAAATGAAAATGACGCAGTGGATTACTATCAAAAGCCACGAAACAGCCCTGGAGAGTATTTAACAAACCGGCTCTCCTGTTCGGCTTCTGATCATTCGTGAGTTTGTCTTTTGCCAGGAAGCTTATAATAGGCTGATTTGGGCCTTTTCTTTTGTCGGAATGAAGGGAAAGGGATCTATACTTTACCTTTTCTGATAATATTCGCACAATATCAGCCCATCCTAGTACCAATGGGGAACCAACTTAGATCGAGGCCAACTACTTTGACAAGCACTTTATTTCCCTGGTCCATCTGCAGTTATGTCTATTGAAAGTATTCGCTTGCTTTATAACTAGCCCCAGGAAATGGCAGGCAAGTGATGTCCTTGCCAAAGTAGTTGGACTCGCTCTATATTGAGGCTCCGTTAGGCTTGGATAGAGACCGTCCCCCAAATCATATACAAGGCCAATCATATTTTTTCTGCTTATTATCTTGCATTCTCATAGTTATATCTAACTACATATTTAGTTCGCCAAACCGAACAAAAATACTGAAGACCTCAGTCCTTACGCATGAGCCCAGAATTTGCATCAGCGAGAGTTCGAGTTCGACCGGCTCTGATCCTTCAGCCCTTACCGATATTGAATCATCGAGTTCGTCTTCTTCTACTACGACTCCATCTTTTGCATCACAAACTGAGATTACTGCCTCTTCAACCGTCACTTGGAGTTCGGCCAAGCCAGAAACTTCAATGATCACCGTATTTCCATGTCCACTTTACTCTCAACCTCGGATTTTTCGGCGCGACCACCAATTCTTCTGGTCCTGCCAGCACTACCTCCACGACATCGTCCGTTGAGCCCAAGAGCACTGTCTTGCGTCCCGATTCAACCTCAGTAGCGAGCTCCACAACCACAGCCAGCTCGATTTTTAACTCGGGCGCTGGTGCTGTCGCCTCGGCTACTAGTTCTTTCAACTCCACCTGTGCCCTGAGACCAAGTTATCTCGCCCTGCTGACGTTGATCGTAGGTTTTTCCAGATGTGGACTTAGTTGTCTGTCTTTGCACTTAGTCCAAGGAAAATCCGGGGCAAGTGTTTCGCCATGGATCTCATATCTATAAATAGTTTGCAGTTACTAGAATCTGCCTGTGCCTCTATGAATCTCCGAATTCAACACCCACTGGGATTTCAAAGAGCTATAACACCGTCGAATTTCTTACCACGTAGACTAAAAATACAGCGGAGTGAGAACAAAGTACGCGAAATAGATCACTTAGTATTTACGAACATGCTTGATCCAGACGAATATGTCGGAAACACTCAGTAGTGAATTCAACTCTGCTAATATATCCTATAGAAATAAATCCTCCGAAGAGCGCTTGTCAAAGATACCAGTCAGTTGACTGTGCAGCGACAAGTGTCTCCTTAAGGATACAAGCCGCCGTATATTCAATCACATCCTCTCTTTCCCAGTCGAAGGCCCGGCTACTTATCTCATAACTAGTCCAGTCGCTCTCGAGGACGAGGATTGCCTCGGGTAAACAAAGTCTGAGTGTCATGCAGAAACGTTGGAATTGCGCATATCCAAGAAGATGACTGCGAGACTTGCGTTCATCACAAGTTGCTTGGAATACTAGCTCGCGACAAAGGGCTTCTAATTTCTCGATCACTTCGTGGCGTCGCCATACTTTGTATGTCAGCGTTTCAATCTGTGTCTCTACAATCTGGACTATCTTTGTGTAGTCCGCCTCAAGGCCTGGTCCAAACACGGGCATTCGGGACATTGCTATGGATATGATGTTAGTAATGCAAAGGTATGCAGTTTCCTAGAGTTGACTGTCCGCCCAGCTTAGAGTGAGTATTGGGGGTTAGATCGCCTAGCAAATCTTAATACTGAATTAGATAAAAAGGGCCCAAAAAGATGTGCGAGCAGGGATACTTATCACTATCTAACTATGCATGCTTTCAAAGATGTTACTTGGCTAGAAAGAGACAGTCAAAGTGATTGAAGTTCTTTGGTTTGGAATTTCTTTGTTATTTTCTTTGTTATTTCCACGTACTCGAGGTTTCGATCCTCAATGTACAAGATTGCCTCGTTGTTGCTCTTGTCTGTGACAAATATCGGAAAAGTGGCGAAGCAGAAGATATAATTTCCAAGTGAAAGAGAGTAACGACAGCAGGGGAGTTCAATAAAGGCTTATGACAAACTATCAAGTTACAGCATAATACCTACACTCCTTTTTCGATTCAATTTGTACGAACATTGATTACATGGCGGGGCATTCCTTATTACGGGTAGCATTGAACTTGGAGAGACTGTATGGCTTTATTTTCGTGGGTAGAAGACTGTCTATACATATCTCTCGTTCTTTTTCGACTTGGGGGAATACTACGTGAAAAGGAACAAACCGAAACGGACTATAGCTATTTCCATCGGAAATTGTAGATGTTTATCGTTAATAGTACATTGGAGACCAAGAATGGATTTCAGTCTGTTGGTAATACATCTCAGGCCCACAAAGACCGTACAAGGTCAGCTGGGATCTTACTTCGGATTGCAAGGCACGGATGAACTAGGGTGACATTCCCCTCATGAAGCTGAGCTAAATTGAAGACAAAGACATGAGTACTAGTGTGGAATTATCAGAATCGTCGGCTGCATATACGGCTTCTGTAAGACTTCAATAATTCGATCCATCTATTTGGCCTGAGATGATATTAGAGACATTATATGTAAGAACGCACGACCGTGTTTTTGCTTGGTCTTTTCTGATGCCTTTTAGATGGAGATTTGAAGTGCCCTTTTAGAAGGTCATTCTAGAATGCTTCTCTAGCGACGTCGCCGAATAAAACCACCGGTCTCTCACTTCTATCTCAAAAGTAACCTGAAAGGAAGGCCAAGGTGACCGGGATTCTCTCACATGAAATGCGAGGAACTAAAAAAAGATGTTGAAGCTCAAGTTCTTTGACACTCTATGGCTTAAAGAAATGTTGCAATTTCATCCTCTTTTACTTTGAAAGGTGTGGCTTTGGTTTCGAGTTGGAGCTCTTTGTTAGGAGTTAACTACCCGGACACGCTTTCTAGTTCGGCTGAATGGTCAGAGATCCCGAATTTCTCATGTTCTTTTATGTGAATCCAACTGTGCCCTCGAATGATTTCTTTGAGGTTCGAATTATTGCGCTTTTGAACTTGGGGGGGGCTTTTCTTCAACCTGGTCTTCTTTGTTTGTACTTGGTAGTCCAAAGTACAAATCTCCCTCACCCGACTTCAAACATTTCTCCATTATCTCATTCTACCCTTAGCTTTCGCACCTGCATCATCTCATACTGTTTCTATCATCTCGCTCTTCGAAATGGATCGTCCTCGGCGAGCCGCTGCTGCAAAGCCCCAGGGCCACTATGCCGCCGCAACCTCTCCCGTAAAAAAGAGGAAGTCTAGTGCCACTGCCAGTACTTCGTCCCGGAAAAAGGGCAAACAGAGGGAGCAGACCCAGGTTGACGCAATGGGCTTGCCTATCCCTACTGATGCCGCTGCCCCCATCCCTGTTATTACACCCAAACCTTTGGATCCGGCCGCACTTGCATTGGATTTGGACAAATCCTATGAAGGTCAAATTACACCACCGGCACCACCGACACGACCAAAACGGCAGCCAAGATGGCAACAGCCGGCAGCAAATCCCATTATGTTCCTCGAGGATACGCCAATCGGTTGGAATCCCGACGAACCCGATCTTGATCCTGAGTACGTCTTTCCCGCTATATCCACATCCATGGATACTGATATATGCTATATAGTGATTTAAATGCTCAGATTGCAAGGTGCCGTGAGCGTATCAGCGATAATATCATAACCCGGCAGTTTGATCTCAAGCTGAGGAACTTATTGCTAGAGCAGGAACGTCGCGAGTGAGTATTTCCGGGAAAGTTTCTCTTAACGGAGTTTAACTCAATTATTAGCGCAATGATGGCCTTAGAACCCGCTGGGTTGAGTTGGCCTGTCGTCCAGCGCTTGCAAACGCTCCAAGGGATTTGGGGATGGCTCCAGGGCCAGAATGACAAGTACGAGCTGGTTGCCAATGTGACGAACATCATGGCAGCATACCGATCAGGCCAATTGAGATGGAATCCAGGTCTTGTTACCTACTGGTCTAGAGGCACACAACTCTGCCATCCGAGACCATTCAGGTGGGATGAATTTGATATCATCAATGCCCAATATGCTGGTCACACAGGCTTTTGGGTAGAAGGGGTATGTTTCCTCCAACTCGGCCTAGTCAGAAACTAATATGCATAGCTTGAAGGACCAAGTCCAGGACTCCAAATGTCACAATGGATAGCTACGCCATATCCTGGAGGGGGAGTGTTTTCTTCTTACGTGAGTGAAGATGCCAACAAGCTTAAGGAAGTTCTTATCTCTAACATGGTATGAAGATGAACATGTGCATACAAATTCCAGATGCGATTTTTCAAGCTGGAGGGGGTGCATTTAACCCTCTATTGCCATCTATGGCGGTTGAGCTAGACTTCATGGATGATACTGGGGCTTCTGTCATGCAGATAAATCAAAGCGATCTACAGCACCTCATAAATTGCAATCGTGACCCCCAACAAAATGACCCCCCTATTCCACCACTCTTAGGTGTCATGCCCCTGGTAGTCGCGAATGGGACAACTGACTACTTAATCTGCAGGCGATTTGAGATTAACATGTGGGATCGTGTGACCAAGACCTACCTGTCCCACCTATGGAGTCCAGTCCAAGTGGTCATTTACGATGACACCAACAAGCAATCACAAACTCGATTGAATGGTCCGTGGGCACGACACAGGTTGTATTCAGCGTCGGCTCCGGATGGCTCAAGCTATACCTATTTTAGCGACGTACACCCAGCATCATCAATGATTGTGCCCGTGGTAAATCCGGCTCAAATTCCCGCCCTCTTACCAGACCTTCCAGTATGTCCACTACGAGGAAGCCCGACAGCGGGAGGAAAAGCAACAGCAGGAGGAAAAGCAGTCCCCTGATAGGCAAGGTCTTTTTTTCTTCAAGTGCAATGTGGCGAATATCTTGCGTTCGAATATATATTTTCTTTTACGTTGGTTTTGTTGGGTTGTTGATTTAAAATCTAGAATCGCTTGTTTTCTTAGTATATCTATTCTGTTGAAAGTTTCACTTTCCTGTCTAAACGTGTAAATCAGAACTGTTAAAGTGAGCCTTATATAGTACAAGAATAGTTGGCCGCTTATGCGTTGTCGTGTCTTTTTAGTAGTCTTGTTAGATGTTCTATTGGATGTTGCTTTTTTCGTTTTTTTTTTTTAGCATTCTCAGGCTTCATAATTAGTATCTAATAGAAAAAAAAAACGGATACAAATTCGAATTGTGCAATAACTTTCTTATATATGATGTTTATGTTGGATATATATCTGTTGTCCAAAGGTCTTGGCAGTGACATCAGCTTTGATTCCCACGTCGCTTCTCCAACTCCCCCAGTTCACCACTTCACCATGGTCTACGCATTTATCCTCCCAACCACCTCGCCTCTTTCATTTCAATCATTCATATCCTCTACCACTCACCCATCCCTCCCCCAATCAGCCTCAACAGCCCGCCATGCTCTCCGCCTCGCACTGAAGGCCCACAAGCGCTTACCCCGCGGCCCGCGCCAGGATGCCCACCTCCCCACCGTTCTGTCCGCCTTGAATGAATACATCCCCTTTCTATTCGCAATATCAAATGGACTGAATGGTCGCTCCGTTCCAACCGATACATATCCTTCTGCCTTCCAAGATGGCTATACGTCAGGGGGAACGAATCTTCGCACCGGCGAAATAGTCGACATCACGATCCGTGCGGAGATAGAGTCGGCATGGAGATATACGTTGTCAGCCTCAAGCGGATTGAATTTCGGGTCCGGTGGAAACAACACAAGTGGAAACAGTATCCGCACACGTAATGGACGAGTCTCCGGCCGGGGCATCCACTTCGAATTGGCGTTTACGCTCACAACCCTGGGGTATGTACTGAGTAGGATGGCGCGCGCAGGAGTCGTCGCTGCACTATACGCATCATCTACCCCATCTGCGGAGGTCCGTACTGCTGCTGTGCAGACCACAACGCGGTATCTACTACAGGCTAGCTCGGTGCATAATCTGCTCGCGTCCTCGCCGACTTTCACCGCAGCTACTGTGTCAACAGTACCGGATATCGAGGCTGCTACGCAGTCAGCTCTGTCATCTCTGGCCATGGCGGAGGCTACTTTACTGGCTGTTCTTAAAGATGATGCGTATTTGACGGCGTGTATCCAGTCGCGCAATCCGAATGATAAAGAGTGGATGGTCCATGCACCTTCGATCCCGAAAGTACGCACTCTGCTATTCGCAAGGCTCTGTGTTCGTGCTGCAGAGTACGCCGAACAAGCGGCTGCAGGTTTAGGTGCCGTTGGATCTACTTCTGGTCGTGCAGGCCGTGTGGATGAGGATTTGGTCCGCTATACAGGAGTTTTGGCTCGCGTTGCTAGGGCACGCGCCTGTCGATTTTTTGGTGTAGATGCTGAGATATCAGGCAAGGCGGGTGAGGGTATTGCATGGTTGCGAGCTGCACGCACTCCACTTGGGCTGCGTGGAGCCGGGTCTTCGCAAGAAGACGCTGCTGGGTCGGGAGGTTCTGCAAAGGGCGGTCTGTCCCGTTTAAAGCGCGAGTGGACAGAGCGGCGTGAAGATCGTCGAGTGGCCAAGGATGCTGGAGGTAGCCGCAGCGAAAAAGGTCCATTGGATGCGGGAGATGATGCTGGTCGTAATGAGGAGGGAAGAGTCCTTGCGATGCTTGAGACGAAGTGGGTGAAAATGAATGACACAGTGGGTTTGAATTCTCTATGTCCTCCATGATCCAGGCGGATGTCAATATGCATGGTTTACTGACTAGATGTAGATGAACACACAGCCCATTCCACCCTCTGCACCATTGCTGGCTAACCTCCCTTCTGGTCGAGATATTCACTCTCCCCCGGCACCATACCAACCCCCTTCTTTAGATGAGGACCAACTCATGCGGATGCGTGCTCCACCAGATGAGAGAGATGATGTTCTGTTTGGAACTGATGACGATAGTGAAGACGATGCAGGACAGTCTGATGGCCGTGGACCTCCGGGTACATTCCCGGACCGAAGTGCGACAGCTTCGAGCGTTTATTATTGAATGATACCGACATATAAGTACATATGTAGAACATGGGATGAGGTGATATATACCAAATGGAGCATTCAATTGCCTCTGGAAGGACAAGCACAAGGGCCCGGTAAAGACACGAGGACTGATGGAGTGTGGGTCACTACGATCTCTCCGAACAGCACTGCAACATCGTATAAAAAAAGGAATAGTGATCAAACAAAGTGATATTATGTACAGTACAAACGGACAAGGGCGCAAAGAAGGTAATCGGCAGACCCTCTTCTGCCATCTTTTCGTCTCCCTCCGACACGGACCCGATCTGGGTGGCTATAAGACCAAATATGGACAAGACGAATCAAAACCACGGGGTTTCAGTCCAAAGCCGATCATTTCATCTCGACATCAAAATTGTCCATTCCCCGCGGTATCGATATCAACTATCAAACCCGGGCCTCGAAACGCCCAATCGCATAGCTGAACACGCAAGAAAAGACGTAAACGCTTATGCCGACGCTCCACCAAAGCGGTTCTTCTCCTGTCCGAGGTAACCCTTAATCTTGCTGTCCTTAAGGAGCTCGAAATACTTCTCTGCAGGGAATACATAGGTCAGTATATCGCATTGTAATCAAAATCACAACCAATCCACATAGCCCTCAATCCATTCAAATCCACTCCTTTCAGAGAGAAATCCCCGCAGAACTTTCAATCTCCTGGATATAGACAGGAGAGAAAAACAAGGAAAACAACCTACCTCGGTAAACACCACACTTCTCAAGGTGGTTCACGCCCTCGCGCGCATAGCACTTGCCCAATTCCTCGCCAACCAGACGCGCCATCATGCTGCGAACCCACTGCTCGCGGATAATGGCGTCGCGGGCGTTGTGGACTGCGACGTTGTCCTCGAAGTCGACGCCGTCGTAGGTCGGGGCGACGGTGGGCTTTTTGGCGAGGAAGGCGGCGGACTCGGCGGTTGGCATTGTGGGTGGTTGGTTTGCGTGGTTTGGTGTGAGGTGAGGGTTTGGTGAGGTGGTTTGCTTGCTCGGGCGGAGGACAATGGCAGCAAAGGTTGTTGGCAGGGAGTCGGCTTTTGGAGACTGCTTGATGCGGTCGTCTGGATCGTTGATCTTGAAGGTTGGATTACCTGGCTTGTGATTGGGTGATACGAGGGCGGTCTAGGGTGGTTTGGTAAGGGAGACGGAAGGGCCCTTTTGTGCAGATCTGGGAGGTCACGTGGGTCTATACTAGCCGAAAACGGTAGGTCAGACAATGAGGGCAGTTTTGCTCACTCGAAGATTATATATTTTTATTTTATTTAGAGCGAGGTGAAATCATTTTGTTGAAGAAGAAATTCCTTTCAAAATATCATATTTTCAATGACCATGGTTCTTCACACGAGCTACCGTACGCCCCGATCAAGACAAAGCGAAAACCACTAAAGCGATATACATACGAAGCCAAACTTCCAACAAAAAAACTCTCATAATGAGAGGAATAATAACAACAATGTAGACATGCCGTAGACAAGCATAATCAACGTAAAAAGCATAAGACTGTATGGATCAATCATCCTCATCCTTAACTTTTGCGGTCATTCGGTCGTATATATCAGTGACACCATCCTTGAATCTCTCCCAGCCAGACCGACCGAGCCAATTGCTCAGCTCGCGGTAGTAGTAGATTTCAGACCAACAATCACGACCAAACATACACCCAGCCATGTTGACGACGAGATCATGTGCGTTCTGTTGATAGTGAACCACTGGATTATCTCCGTCGCCACATGCGCCAGGTGGGAAGGCATTGATGCTGCGTTGGGGTAAGAAGCCAACACTGCTCCGAACCCATGGTTGACTCTGATAAATGTACTCCAGGGCATCCTGTTCTTTATGTTCCCATTGCATATGCATCTGCTCGTACATGACGGGATCCCACCAGATATCGAGCAGGCGGTCTGTCCAATCAGATCGGCGCATAAAGAAAGATCCGAGATTAAATCCGGCGCAGTCTTGTGTCAGAAGCATATTCAATGAATCTGCCTCACCATCGCCCTCGAGGGAACGACCTAGCTCGTCAAGCCAGAACTCAGGCAGTGGATGGGTGATGTTGAGAGGGTTAAAGGCGGTGATATCGCGGTAAACGTGGGACTCGAGGTCATTGAATAGATGGTGTTGGAGGGATGTGCCGTATTCCATAACCCAGGTGTTCAAGTCAAGCCACCAAAACCACTGTGCGTCTGGATACTTGCGCATGGCTTCGCGGATCACATCGCCCTTCTCCCAGCTCTCGCGCCATTCATGTGAATATCGCTTCTTGGCCAGCAAATTAGCCAGTTCGAGCTCGTACCCCCACTTTTGTGCATATCTCTTCTTGTTCCATATGCTGTTGCGTTCAATGGCCCATTCGCGTGCACCCTTCCACTCCATGACGCCGCCCTCCACATTCGATCCAAGTATTATGACGAACTTGCCCCCACCGCCCATGGGTGATTGTCGGTATGTTTGGATAATGCCTGGAATATTGTTAGAGTAATACGTCAAAAAAATCATCGTAGTAGAAATCACTTACTCGTCCAGAAAAGTAGATACCCAACCCACACGAACAACAATGCCAACAGCAGCCGGAACCGGCCCCGGCGCACTGGTATCCGTACGGCACCTAACAGGCCACAACCACTGCCTGCACGCTTCCATTCTCGACCAAAATCATCCTTATCGATATATTCGCGTGAGGAATGCCTTCGAATGCTATGAAAGCGAGATGAGATCTTGTGTCGTTGACGAGAGAAGAAGCCGCCATTGCGTGTTGAGAATGATGGGTACCCGCGCACCTCGTCGCTTTTTGCCTTGGCTGCTGCCCATGATACGCCACCTGGTGTACCTGGGGATATCGAACTGGGCGATGGACCGTTCGGTGATACAGTGCCGCTACCCGGAACAAGTCCCGGGTTGGACCACCCCCCGCCCGGGTGGGGAGAGGGTGATCGCGATAAGGTCATCGCAGTGATTGGCGCTAAAAAGTGAATTGCTAGAGAGTGATTGTTGTGAATCTGGAGTATGTTGGCCGGAGGGAAAGTACGAGCGAAGGGATGAATTTGTTGTGAGGTCAGAGAGATGTAACGAGTGACGTGAAGTTAGGAAGAGAAGCAGTTAAGACACGCCAAACATCATTAAACGTGTGTTGCACATTATGTGCCGGATTCGAGATGCGAAGGAACTTGAGGCCGAATGCGGTACGTCCGATGCCACGGTCTTGGGAGTAGGTGCGATTTAGGTTTCGATCCTTCCCTTGGTTAAAGGGGAAATTGGATTTGGATCTCAAATTAGCCTCAATACTTTAAATCCTTGGTTTTCTATTTTTGATCACTACATACTGTATAGTTGACAATTAGTACAGTTGACATTAATCCATTTTAGCCCTAATGTAACCTATGAACTACTCAAGTATGATCGATTGGCGGAGATCGGCCCCACTTCTCTACATCTACTCATCTACTCGACTGCTTGCGGACAAAGACTATTGTGGAGTATAGAAAATATGTAACGAGTAATTCCCACCGGACCACGCACTTCCTATCAATCTACGTCCGAAGCGGAAAGACTAACAACACCAGATCCCAATCTAATCCCGATCCTTGCATTGGGGCTGAATCGGCATTCGGTTCGCCGCCCCGCCAGCCTTGGCCATGAGAGCCTGTCGCACCATGAACCCGGCTTCGTGTACGGGCCGAGACTGGGCGCTTTCGCCATGGGTAAAGTCGCATTGGAACTTGAGGAACTTCGTTCGGTCTTTGTTTTGGTACACAGTGATGATGTCGCCCGTGTAGAGCTTCCCAAATTGTAAAGCCTCGGGACCATCCTCGGTCATAGAGCCACGGCGCAGCAGTGTGTCGTTTACCCAGATGCCAGAACGTGCTTTGGTGGAGAGAATAGCCATCACACCTGGAATTTCGAGCCAGCTTTCACCTGCTGCGATCCTCGCTTCGATTCCTGGAGTCCAGAAGGTGACCTCCAGGGCATAGGCGGGGATCCTTGTGTCCATGCGGTCGGCATGCTTGACAGTCGCCAACGGGCCTCGACCCCATGAGGTGAGCCTATCCTCAAGGTAGATTGTCAAGTCGAATATCGAACCGGGGAGACTTTTCAACTTTCCATATCTCTTTGGTGGTTTGGCGAACTTGAGATTTGACAGCGTGGAGGGAATAGGCGGGGAGTTGGGTCGATGAACAATCGGTTCTGACGAGCTTGATTCCTCCACATTGATCTGATCCAAGATAGCTTGGCCTGTCTGCGCATCAAGGGTAGTAGCAAACTCGGCGTCGTACTGTGATTTTGAGGGGGGAGAGGGGTCGTTGGGAGCAATGTTACGGCGGCTGTTGCGGGCACTATTATCGCTAGATGCCTCGCTGGCTGTATCGGGGATTGCAAGAGCAAGGTCAATCCGACGTGTGAACTTTGCTTTTGGGGTTGGCTCTTGGGGACTCGAGACAGGTTGTTCCTTAGGACTCGAAGTCGGCGGCATAGAATCCCTGTTGAGGGTGCTAGCTGGCATCCCGTCCTTGATGTGCCCAGGAGTGGTCTGCCGCAAGGAGGATTTGTTAACTGGGCCACCCTTGAGTTGCAAAGCGGGGTTCAAGGAATTCATGTTGAGTTGCCCAACGAGCTTCTCTGCACCCATCAAACTAGGCGCAGTGCCACCGAAGGGAACCGCCGGGAGGGAAATAATCGACTCGTTGGGATCGTCGCTCATCATCGACTCACCGGAAGAGAGAAAGTCAACGTGGAAATTGTTTGCGTCGTATGCATCCATATTACCGAGTGCGTGGGAGCTGCGCAGAGCTGAGGCAGAAACTTCGCCAAATAAGCGTTTGGCATGATTGTCCACCACCGCTTGCCCATCTTGGAAGCTCTCAATATTGGGAAGACTGGGATAGCGAACATCGGTGGGAATGTACTCAATTCGAGGCCGTTTGGAGATTTCTTCACTGCTGCTACCTTCTTCACTGTCGGCTTCATGTACGTACCCCGGACCCTCAGCAATAGACAATTGCGAAGCGTCTAGCTCGTCCTCAGCATCCTCACCAATGATTGAAAGCCCATCTTGATGGTCATATAGCAAGTCGTCATCATCCTCATACTCATCCACATCAGGGACCTCCGCAATCCAAGGGTGCTGGAAACACTCCTTCTCTGTCGGACGAGAGAAAGGGTCCCGGTTGAGAAGCTGGGCGACAAAGTCAATGCCAGACTCGGACACGCCTGCCTGGCGCAAGGCATCGAAATCAGCATCACTTGTCATAATAGTACGAAGCATTTGGACACCTCGATCTTCTGCACGCCCTGAGTATGGTGGAACGCCAGACAGGATATGGAAAAGAACTGCCCCTAACGACCACATGTCAACCGATTGGCTGTACGGAGATGTTTTGGGCGGTCTTTGAATATCAGCAGAGGCTACCCAAGAGAAAAAGAAATTAGTGACTTACGGGTCTCCAACGCGACGCCTCTTTCGGAGCTCGCCACGGCGGTATTGATCATAGTCCGGGTACACCTCCGGCGCACAGTAGAGAAGTGTTCCACAAAAGGTTTTTAAAAAGGTTTCCTGCTCCACCACTTTCGACAACCCAAAGTCGGATAATTTGATTCTGAGCGGGTCCAACGAGGCAATCAGGATGTTGTCCGGTTTGATATCCCGATGGGTGATGCGGCGTTTATGCAAATAGTGAAGTGCTCGTAACGTTTGTCGCGCGATCGTTCTCACCATCTCCTCGGCAATTCTTCCCTGGGTCTGCAGGTATGTCGACAACTCGCCGCCTGGCACATACTCCATGATGATGTAGATCCAGCGATCATGCTCGTGGTGATTGATGTATTGAACGATGTTCGGCTGCAGCGTGTTAGTTGTATTGTTACTAGGAAAACCGAAAAACATCGCTTACATGTGTGAGATCTCTCATGATTTTCATCTCATTATCAACCTTTTGATCAAGGATACCGTTTTTCATGAAGCGGCGCTTGTCGAGTTCCTTTGCAGCATAGATGGCGCCATGTTGCTTGGTTGCAATCTTGTACACAGTAGCGAAAGCCCCCTTTCCGATCTGTCCAGTCACGTTGTACTCGGCACCACCTGTCCAATGCATGCCATATGCGTTGGCGGACGACCACGCCAAAGCCGACGGGCCAGGGCCCTGTCGTTCTTTATGCGCCGGGGCATGGGCATGGACTCTTTCGAAATACCGAAACAAGTTCTGGTGATATTGGACAGCGAATCCTTCTCGTGACGGAATTCGAACCACAAAGCGGACCTCGTCGGACGTTTGGGATCCGGTGATGACTTGAATGACGGATCCATTTGTGAGCATCCGACTGTTCCCATCCTTCTGAGATTTTCGCAGGCGGCAATTGTCCACAATGGTACCATTTGTCGACGTATCCTGAAGCATAAGAATGCCGTCCTCGGTTAGAAATATGCGAAAGTGAGTGTTCGACACTCGTTTAGCATCGTCATCAACACTCAGAAGAACATCACAGCGAGAACGATTGCGACCGAAGCAGAAACCAAGTCCCAGGTTGTGAACTTTTGATGAGAGCCTCAATGCCAAATCTAATGCCGCTGTGTGAGAGGATTCGTGTTCTAGAATGTCCCTTTGGAGTATGTGCTGGGCACATATTCCTCCAGTGGCACCGACAGCATCATGGGCAGCATGCGAATTTGGATGGAGGATACAAATGATGTCGGCCAAGTCTGAGTCTTGGATGCCAGAGTTATTCATTCCCATTCGGCGAGGATCAGCACACGGCTGGGTGGATTCCTGAGTGGCTTCCATTATGAGGATGAATGCAAGTGCAAATGAAGGTGCTAGGAGAATGAACAAAGAAATGAACTACAGGTATAGATCTGATGGGGTAGGGTATATCTGCTGCGAGGCCAGCAAAGGAAATGTGCATAAAAGGGTCATTAACGTCGTAGACTGGAAATATAATATATCAGTAAGGTTGCACCAAGAAGTAAGGGTAAGGGAGAGTTTGTATATATACCTCGAGGGGAATGGGTACTGGGTCCGAGGAACCGCACACCCGGGCAAATGTTGGGTAAGATAATGATGCGTATGCTTCAGCACCAATGACCCATTCACAAGGGTATGGGTCGCTTGATGAAAGGATGGTCGCGAATGTTTGGTTCAGTGATTGTAAGGAGCGGAATAGGCAATGGGTGAGCGATAAGTGAACCGTGTGCCTTGCAGAGTGGGGTGTGTGTCCCTCGTGAACTCTTCCTCAAAGGCAGTGTCGGTCAACAGAGATGATGATGCCGGCCATGAAATTAGAAATTGGTATATCCAGCCCCTGTCCTCAAGCTATAAGAATACAGGGCGCGGTTCCGGTGTTGAAGGTGTCTACCGGTGGAGGGATACCGGATCGTCAAGACGCCGTTCAATAAGATGCTACCCAATGGTCTTGCTGTATTAATAATGCTCGAATTAAGGAAGGACTGTATGCTGTGGTTTCGAGTGCGCCAGAAGGTATGTCTGTGAATTCCGTTATAATAAATCAGCAAATGTCTTTTGGAAGCTTGGAGAGGCTTTTGTGTTAGCATCGACTCGATATGGAGAATGAACTCACACAGCTTGAAAGATTCCCTATCGACCTGTCCACAGCTGGTAAATTCGAAACAGTAGACAGATAAAAATGGGGACGCCGGGACGCAAAATCGCACTCCTTGGAAGGTCGTCGTCCGAGGAACAAGACCAAGAACCAGCCGCAACAATCGTGACGAGGTACCTGAGGCAACGACGCGTTCCTAAGGCGCATAAACTCCTTACTCATCAGGCAGCAGGCGCGTTGATTGGTCAAGCGGGATATAGCGGGGGCTAACCGTGGAATCGTCTCGAGTTTGATCTATGAAAAAAGAAAAACATACGGATATCTCTACAAAGTAAACCAAAACTTTCATATCTTTACATCAGGATGTACACTAGATTCTGTTATTATTTGCTTCAACTACTTACTCCCATATGGCTTGCTAGCATCTTCACTCCGTTTAAAATCACCTTTCAGCGCAGTATCGAACACTTGTTCCAGTCGTGCAAGCGCTTCATCCGATACCTCTGTGACAGGTCAGATTTTGAGTCATGCATTCCCGACCCCAAGATAAATTAGGGAAGCACTTACGGTAATGGACCACGATGCGTCCACCCATCAATTTCAGCCCTTTCTGGTGTCCAATCTCTGCCAGGTCATTTGGCCCCACTCCTGATGCCTCGAGATCCAACCAAACCATGTTGGTGTGCAGGGGGTATTCCAGCTTCCCACCACGACTAGTCCACAGATCGGCTACGCGCTTCGCCTTTTTATGTGTTGCTGCAAGCTTTCCAGTCTGGCCTTTGGGGTCTGTGCCAAAAGTTTCAGTGAGTGCAACCCGGGCCGCAGCTGCAATCACGCCCGTTTGTCGAGCACCACCGCCGATGGATTTGCGGAACCAACGCGCTTTCTTGATAAACTCTTGGGAGCCCACAATGATACTTCCAATTGGTGCCCCCAGCCCCTTCGAGAAGCAAAGACTAACGCTATCAAACAGGCTTGTATATTCAGGCAAGCTCCCAGCCCCGGACACGACGGCCTCCCACAGCCGGGCACCATCCAAGTGGACCTTGATGTCATTAGCATGAGCCCATTCCACAATACGCTTCGCCTCAGCGAGCGGCATAATCATCCCATCCAGGGTATTCTCCAAACTGATCAGTTTAGTCGGACAATAATGAATATTATCGCCAAGAACTGCATGCTTTTTGACATCTTCCAACGTCAAATGCACCCCATTTTTGGGAATAACAGGGCTCACGGTGGCACCAGTCCAAGCGCTCACACCACCAGCTTCATAACAAATGATGTGTGATCTATGATCGCACAATACTGAATGAGGGGGCTGCGCGAGATGCGAGCGAATGGCTACCTGGTTTCCCATTGTCCCGGAAAGGACCAACAGACTTTCCTCGTGTTTGGTGATTTCGGCAACATAGCTTTGCAGCTCATTGGTGACTGGATCCTCCTCAAACACATCATCCAGAAGAGTTGTTTGGCAGATCGCTTCGAGCATCGACGGTGTAGGCTTTGTCATTGTATCGCCTGACTCAGATCAGCTTCAATTCCGTCATTCCCTTTCCCGGTTGAGTCATACTTCGGAGGTCGAACTCGGCAGCTCCAGCCCCATGCCAGGCTGTGGGCTTCGTGCCAGTGGTGCTAATGACTGCCGAGGCACGAGCCAGGGCATCAGTAGAGAGTTGTGCCATAGCGACTGGAAGGATTGTTCTTCGTCCGCGTGGGGCAGTTATTCGAAGTGCCGAGGAAGACCGACAGATCGGATGCAACAAGCGATTCATGGGTGAGTTTTGCGACAGCAAACGCAGATAACTCGAAGGAATTGGGGAAAGAGGGGAGCCGACACGTGATCCGGGGACAGAATGGATGCTACATTGTGGAACCGGGCAATATAGATATCGTCGATGTGCAGCAGATCACACTGGTGATCGGAGGCTAAGCACACAATTTATCCCAGTCCAGGTCCACAACCTAAACGTCGTGTTTCACCTATCAGAAGTGTATAATCCGTAACTTGATCACTCCACGGCTATGACGCACTACAAGGAGTCCTTATCGATAACCAAATTAGGACTAGTGCGTCCAATGGACGGCCTCGACCGCTGAGTCAGCTTTGGCTGGCCGCGGGCGGGCAATGCGCTTCAGTGGTTCAAGCCTGCACAATCTTACTGACTCTCCAACTCTTCACACTGGTCGCGCAAAGATGGATCTATCCCATCTCACACGGCCTGGCATTTTGTGTCAGTGTGCTCGGTGCTCCAGCTCGCTGGCTGCACTGGAGAATGAGTGGGCCAAACTATCTAATGCCTACTCAATTCCAACGGCATGGCTCAGTGTCGACCTCCATCGCATCTCCGTTTCTTCAGAGCGGAAGCAGATCCCTCAGACATCGGATATGACACTGTTACGTGGCCGTGTCATCCAAGAAGTGTCATGTAAACTCTGTCAGCAACGGATGGGGGTACTTTGTCCACTTGACAACGGGTAAGTGGCTGTGGACCAAGACTGGCGCTTCTCACTGCTAATATGTTCTTAGGATGAATATTCTGTGGAAAATGTCGAAAGTTGCTTTTAGGGAAATTGTTACCATGCGAACGGTGCAGCCGGCCTTCAAACAGGGGGCCCTTGAACGACTGATTTGTCCCCCAAAAGAACCTCCGCGCCGAAACCCCGACCTCGTCCAGGGCAGTGCACTAGTGCCAGCTGGCTGCACAGACCGCACCACCCTCGATCCCTCTATGCAAAACCAAATGCTCCATCAGGGTAGAAGCATTGATCAGATTTCCAACTCAGTGAACCACCTCCAAGACACAATGTCAGATCTCAAACATTCATTTACAGCACTTCGAATTGAGTTGAATGGACCCGGCCGAAATCTGGGCGAAGGTTCCATACTGCAGGGACAAGACTTTGACATGATTGCTATGGTGCTGAAGGAGTTAAAGTCCAAGTCTGACGAGATCGAGAAACTGAAATTGGAGATTGAAGCTCTGAAAATGAAGAATCGCTACATGGGAGTGACCCTGCCACAGCAGCAAGAGTCATTGTCGGTAATGAACATGAACGCTGCGCTCCCCGAAGTTCGGAGCCCCGGCTTGCTTCAAGCGGGCCGGAAACGTAACTGGCCTGACGCATTCCCGGGCGATCGCAGTCAGGCAATCGCGGACTCGTTCGACGAAGACGATATGGTTGACGAAATGTCACTATCAGATCCCCCGATTTATAGCTCCCGCGTTCCTCTCAATGACGAGCGCCAAACCGCAATTACCAACGGGCTGCCGGCACAAGAGCAACTTAGGTCCCTAGAGGTGCATATCCCTGCTGGAGAGCCCCAAAATACCTCTAACTCCCTTCAATGCCAATCATATACCCTACAGCAAACCATAGCCAAACGCCCACGTCTGGGTACGCCGGTTGAAAATAGCACCCAAACAGCCCCTTCAGAGTCCCAAGATGTTCCTCAGAAAAGACAGCCTGGCAGGCCGAGAAAATCGATCAGCCAACCCACCATCCCCGATTCCACCGAATCACCCACTACCGCTCCTTCTAGCACGCAAGAGGATGTCGAATCAAACGGCCAGCAAAACATAGTGCGACGTCGCGCATCTCGTCGCAGCCTGCGTGCACAATCCCTTGGCCCAAATATCAACCGTGAACTTAGTCAAGACGACCAGCAGAAGTCACAAGATTTGACCAAGGCCCCTCTTGAGACTCACACAGCACCCAACAAAAAGAGCAAGCGTAATACCGGCTCTCCCAATGGGAAACGAACTGGTGGTCCAGATGATAATGGAGACGAGGCCGCTATGAATGAGAAGCGGAAAGCTAAGGTCGCGGCGCGGGACGTCATGGCCAAGATGGCTTTACAGCATGAAGAGGCCTTGGAGGCCGAGAATGCACGATAAATTGTCGGGGATTATCATTCACATACTTGTACAATAGAAAATAAACAAGACATAACTGTATTATGACCAAAACTCCATCCGAAAACGATTGATAGCTGGACAACTATCGGTGAGACGTCCGACGCTTAGTTTCATCATCTTGCATCTACATCTTGCGGTGAAGTATCACTCGGTCTATCAGGCCCAGTCACAGTAGCTTGCATACAGTGCGGAGGTGGAAGCATCTAGTTTGTGCCAAATGCTGCGTGAGTATTAAATAGTTGTACCTTGGAAGGGATTGGCCTGGTACGATGAAACTGGCCATCAAAGACTAGCTTAGCGGGTGCGCCAGAAGACCCACCTGGACAAGAGAGAAAATGTGCGAGGCGTTTGGGAATCCGGAGAAAGGAGTTGTTTTGGGTCTTGATGGGATTGTCGTTATATTCGACCTTGTAGTCATCTGAGAACGAATCTCATCTTGCGCAATGATAAATCGCTTTTAGTACGGCACAAGACTAACCATCAAAGTGTGAAGGTATTTGAAATTATTGGAAATTGGATTCTTAAGCTATGTGCGAACATATCCTAACGGACTATCATATCTCATTAAAAATCATTATTTTCACTCTGTAATGTCCCCAAAGCAACTCTGCGAGAGTCACTAGCGAGTCGAGATGAATTTCTGCGAATCGGACTCCTGTTGGCCGAATGACTGAGGGAATGCCGCGATCCCACCAATGATGCCAATGGCCATAAAGGCAAGGGAGATGAGAGACCAGATGACTCCCCAGCACTGAGAAGATCCACCATACCTCTTTGCAAAGACGCTGGCATCAGAGCTGTTTACTTTGCGAAGGATGAGGTCGTCGCACTAGAGCACAGGTTATTGGCAACATAAACCAAGAGAGTGTGACTGGTACTTACAATATCCCAAACACTGTACAATGCAGACATGACACCAATAAACAGCTGTAGAGAAAAGTTGATTAGTATAAGTCCACAACGGAGGGAATCAAAGTATCAGACATACCACGACCCAGCGCAAGGCTTCACCATGGACAATGAACCAGCATGCCACTAACAACCCGACTGCAAGGAGAACAGTCACGATAGTCAACCAGTCTCTCCGTGCCCACCAAAGGGTGAGCAGAAAGCAGACACCGAGGATGATGCTGGCAACCTTGCTGGCGACGATATTAAATCCAGCGAAGATCAATAGAGCGCCGATGATCGATGATCCTAGGTACCCAGCAGGCAGAGTGATAGCACTCATACCGCCTTGCATGACAGTGACACCACCTTCATGTGGATCCAGCGAGATAGACTTGACTTTTCCGCCGGTACAGCAGGCAGTAATCGCATGGCCGAATTCATGGAAGGCAATCACCAGCATCTATCAAGGGGTTAGCCACAGTCTGTCAATATAGGGCTGGAAGATTATTACCTTAAAGGGCCATAGTACCCAGCGAACATATGGTAGATTCCATAGTAGTGCGATGATCACAACATATGCTGCCATCACGCCTAAGGTGACGCTTTGGGTGTGGTTGACACTCAAGCCACGCCGGGCCAGTTGGTGCGGGGCCGTTTCCACCGTGCTTTGGGCTAGCGCTGCATATAGGGCTGGCATGGTGTGCGATAGACAGGGTCGGAAAAGCGAAGAACGGAAAAATGCAAACGTGCGAAATGGCCGAGTGAGTGCAAGTGGAGTTTATTTAAACTCTTAGAGAGATCATCCACGCGTCCCTATAGGGACGCGCATGCCACTTGTTATTTTTCGTGGCACAGGTGGCTGATCTGCCGTGGCTATTTTTAGTGGCTTGGCCGGCTTGGCCCTTTAGGCTGAAGGGTTTCATACTCTTTTATACTACCGTCTATTCCTTCAGAGCTTCAGTATTTACTATAATGTTATCATACCTACCTAGAAGAATTGTACCTGCCAACTGGCTGGGGTTATATATATTGGAGATGTGAGAAAGTTGCGTTTGATACATAATTATCGATCTCCCATCTGGCCAAGTGGCAGGCATTTGAAACAAGCGAACTTCGCCATCTGTGCAGACATCACAACACCATTTTCACCCTGGTATCGCCACCGCTAGCATCTGTCAGCAATCTCGGATGCATTATCCGGGATTTTCGGACACATTCTGAGGGATATAACAACAATCTTGCCGAACAATGGATGGGTGGGATACTCGCCGATTCCGATCGCTTGCAAACTGTCATCGTGTTGGACGCCGACAAAACCTTGGCCCAGGAAGATAGCGGTGTGCTCTTCTGGGAGCAGGTCCGGGCTGCCTCAGCTGAGGACGAGATCAACAGCCCTTTGAAAGCGTTATTTAACAATCCCCTGGGATATTCTTACACTGCTTTCCGTCAGGCAACATTGTTGTATGAAGAGGCTCTTGGTGATGTGGAATCTGAGGCTTGTTGCGAGACTGTGTCATCATTGATCCATATGCATAGTGATATTAAGGACTCTTGCACTTGGTTGGCAGAACGAGACATGTCCACGCAGTCGTCGTTACCTGTGGAATCCGATCTGTGTGGGAGAAGGTCCTTGAAATAGTGGGCCTTTCAAAAACGGGTTCCAGCCGCGCCAGGCAGTCCTACTCCATCCAACACGCAACACCGCGCCTTGATACCACTCGGCTGCCTTCTGTACGGTTGACAGATCGACATTTCATTGATTCGGTCCTCGCTAGATACAAACGTCCGTATGTCCTTCACGCCACCGACCGACCTGTGGCCAAATTGCTCATGACATCAATGCGTAATGCAGATATTTCTGGACCTGCGCTACGAGAGGTTCATGGACGAGGTGGACACTCCGTTTTTCGGACAACCAACTCACCGGCAGAGGGGTTATTGATAGTGGTAATAGGTTGTTCTACACAGTGCATATGGATTGATCAGGTTGCTTTCTACAGCGAATGTTGTCTCCATGGTTTGTCATGGATGAAAGCGATGCTTTAATCTTTGTCTTTACTGTTTGAAATGTCTAAAATGTCTAAAATTCAAAATTTCCAAATGAAGATCAGGGTTGTTTACTATCTGCTTTAAAAATCCATGTCTTTTTTGATTGAGATTGTGCAACTCCCCAGGGCCTGAGTCGCCAAGTCACTGGTAAGACTGATTTTAAATAAAATGAGTATAGTACATCTATGAAGATGGTAAGGAATAGGTTCAAAAGTCTCCAATGATAAAGGAATGTTGCTACTACCTGCCAGTACTACCAAACCCCGCATTTCGGGAATTGGGATCAACTTCACCATCAGGTAAAAAAGTCAATTTTCGCGATTTGGATCTACAAAGTAGGATCCAGGTAATGCGGGGAAAACTTTTCTCCTACCAACGCTCCTCCATTACCATGATCGTCGTGCTTCCAGTCCTCCTAGCAGGACTTGCAGGCGGTGCATACCCCCGGCCAACTACAGAGACGAATACAGACGAAACCTACCACAACAATGCCGGTGTTCTCAAATTTGTCAATCCCCTCATCGGCACCTACGGAACAACACCAAATGGCAACGGCGGCATGATCCCCTCCGTCGCCCCTCCCTTCGGGATGACCCGCTGGACACCACAGACCCGCGAGAATTTTATCTCGCAAGTGCCTTACGGCAACAGTGACCGTCTCATCCATGGATTCCAGGCCACGCACCAACCCGCTATCTGGATGGGCGAGGCCGGTCAGGTTGTACTGACACCGGGAATCGGCGAAGTGCAGCCGCTATTTCAGAATCGAGGATTGCAGTTCCGGAAGAAGGATGAGAGGAGTACGCCGTATGTTTATGAGATCCTTGTTGATGCTGCTCAGCGCTTGGACCGTGACTGGAATGCCACGGCTGAGGCTGTAGGTGATGGGCCTGTTCCCGGTGGTGCGGGCTCCGTGCCGGATGAGGTGAAGGAGGGTGCCAATGGGCGGACGCGAAAACGGCAGATTGAGTCTGTGCTTCGTAGTACAGATGGTGATGAGTATGAGCGGTCAATTCAGGTATCGGTTTACTTTTCGTACTTGTCATGAATTTCTTCTGATGGGTCTCAGGTTGCCATGTCTGCAGATTCTCATATTGGGTATCTTCGGTTTGACTTCCAACACAGCTCTACCAAATTGAATGACGAAGCAGAACCCTGGGTATTTATTCAAGCTTCACGCCGGAACTGGACAGGAGAAATACATATTGTTGCCAACAGTCGGGAGATCTACGGCTATAACAGTGAACGTCAGGATTACCTCCTTGGACCGGACAAAGCCCCGTCATTCAAGGGATACTTTGTCTCCCAATTTTCTGAGCCATTCACTGAATTTGGTGTGACAAATGGAGGCTCGGTTATAAAGGATAAGAGCCATCGACGCGGGAATTTCACTGGTGCATATGTGAAATTTGCCAACTCGACATCCCGCGTCGAAGTGCGCACTGGTGTTTCGTACATCAGCGTCGCACAGGCACGGAAGAACCTTGAGATCCAGGCCCCAGATGAGTACACCTTCGAGGATACTGTTGAAAAGGTGAAGTCAGCCTGGCTTGAGAAGTTGGGCAGGGTATCCATCAAGGGCATCAACAAGACCCATCCGGATAACGACCCCCGCACTATTTGGTATACTGGCCTGTTCCATGCACTCCAGTATCCAAGTGACTTTTCCGAGCCAGCATCAAAGCAGGATGGTGCACCGCGTATTTTCTACTCGGGCTACACCGATAGTGTGCACACTGAAAACGACTCATACTACCAGTCCTGGTCAATTTGGGATACATACAGAGCCGAGCACTCACTGTTGACCCTTTTCGCGCCGGAACGTGTCAACGGAATGATGCGCTCCTTGCTACGCATCTTCGATTGGTCTGGTTGGTTGCCAATGTGGGCCAACCTGGTTGAGACAAATATCATGATCGCGACGAATGCAGACGTGGTCCTTGCCAACGCCCTAGAACGAGGATTTAGGGGCTTTGATATTGGCAAGGCTTGGCAAGCGGTCAAGAAGGATGCATACACCCCGCCTGATAAAGATACCGATATTTTGTACTATGACCGTGAGCCCGGCACTTCATATGAGGCCCGTGCTGGACTCACATCATACGTGAAGCAAGGCTGGGTGTCTAATGACGGTTGGTCCGAGGCCGGTAGCCGCACATTGGACTACGCATTCAATGATTATGCCTGCTCGGTTGTTGCCGCCCATGCGGGAGAGAACAACGCCACCGTGGAAGCCCTCAAGAAGCGAAGCGAAAATTATGCGTCTCTTTGGAACAACGAAACTGAGTTTATGCAAGCTCGCAACGCGAACGGGACTTGGGCTAATAACACCTTTGGTTGGACCGAAGGCGATGACTGGGTCTACACGTTTGATGTGATGCATGATGTGAAAGGACTGGCTGCCCTTTTTGGTGGTCGTGAAGCCTTCCGCGATAGGTTGAATGCGCATTTCCAGGGTGGCCACAATGATCATACCAACGAACCAAGTCACCATGTACCCTATTTGTATTCTGCTCTCGGTTATCCCAACCAAGCAGCAGAGACAATCAGAGAAATTGCTTGGGAGAACTACAATGCGACCAGTGGAGGGTTAGGCGGAAATGAAGACTTGGGACAGATGAGTGCTTGGTATGTCTTTTCCGCGTTGGGATTCTATCCAGTCAATCCTGCCAGTGAAGATTATATTGTCGGCACACCGTTCTTTGAGGAAGTGACTATCCGTCTTCCTAGTGGAGCGAGAACTGGTGGAGCCGTCGCCAATGGTAGAGAGAGGAGGCTTGAAATTAGCGCTCCGGGGGCATCCACGAAGCCATACATTGGTGGTTTGAAGGTTGATGGGAAACCGGTAATTACCCCGATTTTAAAGCACAGTCAGATTGTGTATGCAGCAAGAATCGAGTTTGAAATGAGTGCTATACCCACTCCCTGGGGAAGTCGCCCCTTATGGGAAACTTGATGCCGTGAGTATCTCCAAAAGGACCTGAGAAATCCAGACCGGAGATGGTGACTGGAGGTAGCTATCACCGCTTTTAAGAGTTGAAAGGTCGCTTCGTATTGTAACTGCCCTTGGTTGGGAATTTGTTCGTCGAGTACTTTTTTCTAAGACCCATTTCCCGCGTTCATCAATCGACTTCCTGCTCCGTTGGGATTCATCAATCGCCACATATTCCCTGCTAGTTTAATCCTTTAGCATACCCATGTCGTTTGCTTTTTATTCAATTGTATAATTGGATGTGACGATCATTTCCGGAACCCCTCATTGATTTTGTATCACCTCATTCTCATGATCTGTTGCAAACTATTGCGCCATAGTACATGCCGTCTCGCAACTGAACACATAATTCCTTGGCCATTGGTAAAGTTCTCCCCATCAAGTTTCTAACTGGTCGCCAGTTTATTCCTCCGCTTTTTCATTGCAGCCTGGCAATAGCATTTAACTATATCCGCTGGAAGCTACCATGCACGATACCAACCAAGACTAGAGCGCACATCAAGGCAATACTAACCGAAGCTAGAATTTAACATAAACGCCACAAGGGCCGAAATTCCTGTCGGTCATTCCGTCTTATCATGGGATTATAGTTTCTGGGCAGATGAGGCCAGCCGCTCCCCTGACCGCGCGCCCCAGTTATTGTGGAGGGTCCAAGTTGAACAAGAGTATATATACATCCCATGTCTCGCCGTCTATTTCACAAAGATCCTAGTTCTCCTCAATCTTCTTCCTGCCCGCAAATATGGGTATTACCTCTCCCTTACGGGAACATACAGAGCAGCTCCCCCAATATGACAGCAGCGACAATGATAGTCTGCAATTTACTACCGAAATGGGTGGGAACACATCCAAGGTCACATACCAGGAGGCATCGGGGGCGCCCGTTGAAGTTAATTCCCCGCTGGGGTATTCGGTCGGTTGGGTTACTGTGATTTTTTTGAATTTGAGTAAGATGATTGGAACGGGAGTATTTTCAACGCGTACGTACACCTCAACACTCTGAATTGTTTAACGATATGCTCACATATAATAGCATCGACGGTACTTAAAGGTGCCGGCTCTGTTGGCCTCACATTGTTCTATTGGGTGATCGGATATTTAATGGCATCTAGCTCTCTGTCGGTCTACATGGAATTTGCATCATCTTTCCCTAGTCGGTCCGGATCGGAGGTTGTCTACCTGGAACAGTCGTATCCCCGACCCAAGTACTTCTTCCCTACTGTCTTTGCGATGCAGACGGTACTTTTCTCGTTTAGTAGCAGTAATGCTGTTGGTATGATTGCATTTCTGGTGTATGAAGAAGTGACGAATACTGACTTTATCTAGTACTGGCCCAGTATCTCTTCAAACTGGCGGATTCGGAAGCTACTCCGTGGAAGTTGAAGGGAGTCGCTGTAGCCTGCTATACCGTCGCAGTACTGGGTGAGTGATAATTCTTCTATCTGTGTGATACGTGCTAATAATCTCGCCACAGTTCTCGCATTTCACACCAGATGGTCTTTGAGACTGGCGAATGCCATCGGGCTAGTCAAACTACTGACATTGCTATTGTACGTGTGAACCTGTAATATAGTTGCGAGGCAGATATATTTAGTCGGCAGAGCTGACCAAAATTAGCATCGCGGTAACTGGCTTAGTGGTTCTCGGAGGTCATACCTCAGTGAAAGACCCCAAGGCAAATTTTAGGAATGCCTTTGAGGGTACCAGCGGCGCCACAGCCTACGGAGCAACCAATGCATTGACCAAGGTTTGGTTCTCCTTTGCGGGCTATGAGAATGCTTTCAATGTTGTCAATGAAGTCAGGGTATGTCCTTCACATCTCAGTTTGACGACCTTTTTTTGTTTTTAACTCGCATTAGAATCCTACCAAAACCTTGAAGTGGAGTGCTCCACTCTCATTGGGAGTTACAGCAGTTCTATATGTGTTGGCCAACATTGCCTATTTTAGCGCTGCGACCAAGGAGGAAATTCTAAACTCGAAAGTAGTTGCGGCTGGTGTCTTTTTCGAGAAGGTGTTTGGAACTGGTGGCGCGTCTAAGGCGTTGAATTTCCTTATCTGCATGAGTGCTTTTGGAAATCTTCTTGCTGTGCTTATTGGACAGTCCCGTATGCTAAGGGAGTGTGGAAGGTTAGTGATGAAATAGTGTTTGCACTTTGGAAGTGATCTTAACCCGGTGTTTGGATATAGACAAGGCGTTTTACCTTTCACTTCATTCTGGACTTCGACGAGACCGTTTGGAACACCGCTCGGCCCCTACTTTGTGAAATGGAGCTTAACGGTGATAATGATTCTAGGGCCGCCTGCTGGTGATGCATTTAGTTTCGGTACGTCCTTGTCTCCTTTTTGACATGCTTTGTTATGACCACGCCGGAAATAACAAAAAGACCCTTTTACTAATGTTGGAAAATAGTTGTGGACCTCGGAGTCTACGCCTCAAGTTTCTTTGGCTCAATACTCACAATTGGCCTCGTGGTCACTCGAATTCGTCGTGCACGACTCAATCTCCCGCCCCCGGACTACAAGGCCTGGCACGTTACAGTGGCATTTGCAATTCTTTCTAACCTGTACATGGTCGTGATGCCGTGGTATCCTCCCAGTACTGGGGCCAATGGAGGTGATGTGAGCTTCTGGTATGCAACATATTGCGCGGTTGCTCTTGGAATGTAAGTTGTCGCTGTCCTTATTCACCGCTGGTATATATCGCTGACTTGGCCCATAAATACAGTATCGGGGTGTGCGGAGTTTACTATTATATCTGGATCAAGCTTCTCCCTAGAATCCAAGGATTCAAGTGGGAGCAAACGGTTCTGAAATTGGATGATGGTGCTTTGGCACATCGGCTTGTTAGGGTGCCTAAGAGGAATGCCTGAGAGATGTAACCAGGTGACCCCAGCAAGTGGCGCATATCATTAACATGTTAGCCAAATACTTCGTACATTTATACTATCACTATCCTACGGCAATGTCACCCTATCTACGGCGTACGTATATCACTATACATATCATTTTTTGTCAGCCAAAGGCCATATCGCGTATAGTAATTTCCCTTAGCTTATTTAGTATATATAGAATTCACTTATAGAGCCGCTTTATACGCATTCAGCGGGTATATGGCGAGCAACCTGCGGCTCTTTGAAATACATCCTCATTTTACCAATTTCTCTATATAGTAAGTTTTTGGTATGAAGTTATACTAGTTCTATTACCAGCCAGTTTTTCAAAAAGAATAGTACATTCTAACGATGATGATCATCAGCGGCTGGTCTAGAAAAGCTAGCTGAATGTTACAAACTAAATGCATGGCCCGCCTCGGAGATCCAGCAGTAGCAGGAGTTCCCTGGCCTTCACTAGCACCCATGCTGAAGTCCATGAGAATACTATTGTCGGCTGCTGCCTGTAATGCTCCATCGAATAGATTGCTGAAAGCCGGTGTTCCAAACCCAAATTTGTTCCAATCTGTAGGAGGCGGAGCATCTGAAGGGTTACCGTAGAAGTAGAAAGGAACGAATTCCAGGCCGCCTGCCCCCGCGCTGGCGAGGTCCGAGATGTCACGTTGAACCGCTTCAACCGCGACACTTGCATCGGGCAGCCTATTGATTATTTATCGGTTGGTTTAATTCTGATGTCTGGCACAATTTAAACAGTCGAGGTGTGCACCTACCAGTAACGGAACTTTGGTAAAGACTCAACTCGGGGGTTTTTGAACGTATCCGGCGATTCGTCCTGAAATTGCAGCACAGAAGAAGATGCCACCAGAGGAAGCAAGAGATACCACACAAGATAGGTCATTATTGGTTTCTACTGGGCAGATGAATGAGTGAAGGGATGCCTTAATAACAAAGAAAAAGAGAACGAAGAAAAAAAGTGTAGTAGCTTGAGAAAAGGGCAAAATAGATTCGCTAGTCCTGCTAAATAGCTTTATCTCATTCACAAAAAGCACGCATGGACAAACTAGTTGGTTCATCTTGGTGTCTTTCTAGGAAATAATCATCCACATTCATTGCCGCATTGTCCAATTGGATTGGTTGCGTATTATTAAACGATACGCTAGTAACTACCATCGTACACTAACTAACCTTTCCCCACATCAAGCAGATCCTCAATCGCTGGCTGACCAATCGCAATTACTCGTGTTAGAAGCACCACACCTGCTCCGTATTGCTTTTGTACGATTTCTCCTGCATATAGCCTTGGCATTGTAACCACGGCTTAGGCGCCTCTTGAATATCATCAGCTTCGTTCCAAGCTTTTCTGTTTAGGAGTCGATTTCAGGGCGACCGACTCTGCCAAAACGAAAAAGAATTAGTACACTTCGCGCCTCAATGAGGTACTTAGTCTATAAGGTGAAAGGCTTTGCTGAAAACGGATGACGAAAGGTCTACCTATAAGCCGAGAGATATCAGGGACGGGTTAATTGTCTATAGGTTTACACACTTTCAAAGCTAGAACGTCTTAGTATGTGAAAGTATGGCCTTGTGTCTAGATCTATGTACGGGGTTAAGAATAGTTTTTAAGGTTAGTTCTTCCTGGATCCCCTACTGCGGCATTGTCGTAGCACGATCGAACAAGTAAGTAGCGGGCCAAATATGTCGATTGTACTAATCCCAACCTTTACAATAGGAACTTCGTATCCGTTCTATATACGAGATCTTGTCGTAACCTAAATGAAATAGGCTTAGTGGCAATGTGCGGCGAACGAAAAAAAGAAACTCTCCTGCTTGAGATACGAGAGCTTGCCGTACACCTTACTACAATAGGCTTGGCTGTACTGTAGAGGTAAAACGAAAAACCTCCACAAGATGTAGCTGTTGGAGCCACCATTTTAAGTTGTAAAGTTTTACACATCAGTACAGTGCCACACCGCGAATTACCGACTCGTATAAAAATTAATTTAGCATAGTCAGAAGGATGAGTGAGCGGTCGTCCAGCTTGTCTCAGAGTCTGAAGTAAGCGAGACTAGGCTGGAAGACACGGCCTTGGCTGTTGATAGAGATTTTCTGCAATTTTATTTCAACTAATATCACATGGACATCAGCCTGATTGTCAATTACAAGTTTTCACATAAAGAGGCTATTATCTTGATTTGTTATTCGTTTTCTCTGCCACTCTGCTTTGTGTGCCCTTACTTCGTGCCTTTTCCTTGGTTGCTGGCATGTCACTTTTCAAAGCCCAGATTCAAGAATAAGGGAAGATTAAAAATGAGAAGAACAGAATTTTCGCAATGACGTTGGCCATTCGGGTCGACAATGGAGTTATTGATTCCGCCTTTTATTGCTCTGACCGGTCTATGGCTAGTACGATTGTCCTCATTGCTTTATCCATGGTGACCACATTCTACCACGCCTTCCAACTCTTGAAGACCCGTACCTGGATTTTTATTCCATTTGTGATAGGAGGGATTTGTGAGTGAAACTATTGAAGGACGATAGACCCTGCCTATCCTTCCTGACAAAAGGGATTTGACAAATGAAAGTCGCACCGACATGCGTGAGTACTTTACCAATTTCCCGAATTGCTGAACTACCGCCGTCGTTTCTGTAGGACAATATACTTCCTACGGCTCTACACAAATAGCCTCCTTGTTACTTCATGTATTTGACCTATGTAAATCTGTCTTTACTGCTTAATGAATAAACAACCTTAAGATATCAACGGGACTCACAATCCACCTTTCCACCCCTCTATCTGTGGCCAGTAAATTGTCAGGGCTTTTCCTTTTGGCAGGCTGCGATGGGTACATAGGAAATTGGGATTTCAGAGGCGGATCTTGAATCAAGGAGCCTGCCGTCTGTAAAGAAAGCTTCGGAATTTTCCAGAGAACATCTTATGATTTTGTCATTGTATAATTGTAGCTACGAAAAAAACCATGCTATTCTAGTAGGTATGATATTCGCCTTAATGGCTCCCGTAGCGCGTCACTTCCCTTTGGAGGCTTATCCATCGTCGTAAAAGCATTCTAAGTGTCGGAAAATAATATTCGTATAGTCAGCCCTCTTAAACTCCCTCTACCTCGTCGGCTTTATCGTTGGCCCGCTGTTCTCCGGTCTGGTAAGTGAGTATGTAAGTCGTCGACTAGTCCTTATCTGAATATATCTCGCCTATATATATTTCACCCTTTATAATAGATAACGATCCTTATAACTGATATATTAAGGAGGAGATCGGTAAGGTTTAGGGGCGTTATATAATATTTTTGGTACGGGGTTGGGTATATAATCGGAAGCCTAAATTTACCTATAGTTTATGACCCCCTATGTCCTTCTTAATTCTAGTAGAATTAGTCTTAATATCTTAAGATATTACAATTATGATTCTTCCTACCTATAGTATCCTACCCGGTTAATAGACCTTCTACCTAAAAACTGTATAATTTTTCATTTCTCCTATATAAGAGGTATCTTTTGTATGACATACCCATACAACAGGTACTTAGGCAGCCCATAGACATAATACACATTTTCCTAGCCTTCGAACTAGCTAAAGTAATAGAAAGTATACAAATAGATATTATGAGGCTTGCTTATTTAATTCAATGGTAGTATTGATTCTTGGTGTCTAATATGGAAGAAGAATACTAATTTAGAAATAATACTATATTCAAAGGTTATATGGAGAAATATATATGCCTTCTTCACTTCAGTATCCTTGATATTTCTTACCAAAGTTTGTTTAAATAATGTGGACTTTCTTCACATCATATACATGTGTCTTATATCTTCCCTAACAAGTTTGAGGGCTGAGAAAATGTATGTGGTGCATGCAGGCTGCCTAAGTACTCTGTGTACGGGTAAGCCATATGAAAGGTAGTTACTTACCTAGTTTGTAGATTTTTGCATCTAGTGACAATCTTGCATTTAGTGGGGCGCACAAATACCAGGTAATATGGTGTTGGGCGCTTGGCACGGTTAACGGGATTTTGTCATTTTAGTTAGAGTTCTCAACAACGGCCATTCATACCATACATTGTCATACAGTCAGGTTTCTGTCATTTCCCCATGATTATCAAGTTGTGGACGTAGACGGCGGCTAAGTTTCCGGATTTGATGTCTGTCGCCGACTCGTGGGGTTCCAATGGAGCGGGGGATTCACAATCAATTCCGGGTTTCACTTCTGACACAAGCTGCAGGGCGTAGGCCAGAGGGTGTATACGGGTGGAATGGACTATATAGCGAGTCTGTAAGCGAGATGGGTGCGATAAGTATGTTTACCGACGTCGGAAGCAGTGCCATTTGCAGTAATTATCGGGACGGTGACTGTTGGGGGACTTGATTTGCTGATTTCTTGGCACGAACTGGAGCAACTCGCCTCCTACCAAAGAGAAACAAGTAATGAACCATGATACCAAACAAGCTAGCTTCCTGACGGCCGAGGGGAGACTACTCCTTGGAGTTATTCCGCATCAACGATAAGCTCGGTAAACTGCTTGACTGGGCTCAGCCGTTGCCCACGGTGAGAAAATTGTCAAATTAGGCTAGGAACCCTTCCTTGGCGGCAACTATTGGTTCCATTCCATTGCCAATTGAAGTCTTCGGGATCAAGAATGAGAGTACATAAGTTCAAGATAGAAGACCTTTAGTACTCCAGATTCGACTGCTGTACGGATTGCCACATAACGCATCTCATCATGAACAGACTTATTTCACCGCAATGTGTCAAATGCCCTACCTTCCTTGCGGGAAGGTGCCCAGGAACAGCCAAGCGGCTCCTGGCAACTGAAGCATCACCACTCACTCGGAAAGAGAAACAGGAGGGCGATATTTCCTCTGTATTCTCAACTTTTTCTGGCAGAAAGAGCGCGCCACTGCCGGACCGTTTCCGGGAGTTGAAGCGCAACCTGACCATGGGGTTCGAAGAGGATATCCAAAAGTCGTGGGATGAACTGGTTGAGACTCTGAAAATCCGGACCGAAGAAGTCGCCTCCAAGCGGGAGTCTGTACGTTCATCGCATCTCCCTAGTTTGGAATCACATACTAAATGGTGCAGATCATTCCTCAATTGAAATTTTCCGACATTCAAGCTGGTAACGTATCTGCGGCGAGTGTTGAAGCCATCCGACGCACCGGTGTTGCTGTCATCAGAGGGGTTGTGCCGACAGATGTTGCTGAAGGGCTCCTCTCTGACGTTCGTCAATACTTCGATGCACACCCTTTCAAAGGCTTCCCATCTGATAATGAAAAAAAGGTAATGATTTGTTTTCACGTTGATCGAGCTTGTAGTGACTTGAACCAGGTTATTTACGAATCATATTGGAGTCCTTCTCAGGTGAAGGCGAGGTCGCACCCCAATATGCTCGCCACGCAATCGTGGATGAATCAACTATATTCTGCAGACGCAGATCAAAAGAGTAATCAACACTTTAAACCGAACGGACCCAGCTAACGTAATCTAGTTGATCTTTCGGTCCCGCTTACATACTGTGACCGTGTGCAAATTCGCCCACCTGGTGATAAACACTTTGGGCTTCCGCCTCACGTCGATGGCGGAGGAGTTGAGAGATGGGAGGATCGCTCTTACAACCATGTCTACCGCAAGATCTTTCAAGGAAAGGTAAGGTGTTTACTTTACTCCTTTATCTGCATAGACAGCTGATATCACGACAGTGGCAGGAGTACGACCCGTGGGATTTGACTGGCCGCCTTGATGCCAACATGAATATGTATGAAGGTCCAGGGGGTTGCTCGGTCTTCCGAACCTTCCAGAGCTGGCTTGGGTTATCTCGCCATGGACCTCAGCAAGGTAAGTTGGTCATAGATTTAAGACTCGCTCAACGCTGATCGCTCGTCATATCAGGTACTCTTGTTGTTCATCCCATCTTGCAGGCTACCACTGCTTACTGGATGCTTCGACCATTTTTCAAGCCTACTCGAAAGGGCTCATTGGACGGATGGAAGTTTTCCCTGGATGATGAAGAAGGCGATGTTTATCTGCATGGTGCCAATCCGGGAACTGCCCAAGAGCACACCCCCGACCACCATCCCCATCTAATGCTCAGCGAAACCATGATCCCGTATCCTACTGTTGAGCCAGGTGACACTGGTAAGGTTGTCATTTATTTACTAAGTCGAACCAAGCTGAATTTTATAGTGTTCTGGAGCGCTGATACCATTCACGGTACCGAGAGCGACAACACAGGAGACATTGATGCTAGTGTGTTTTACATTCCATCGGTTCCATTGACCCCTAACAATGCGGTGAGATAAAATTTCACAATCCTGCGTACGCCCACTTTGCACTAACATCACATAGAAATACGTCGCGCAGCAACGCGATGCTTTCCTGAAGGGTGTTCCTCCACCAGACTTCCCGGGTGGGTTTGGCGAGTCTCAATTCTCTGATAGAGCACAAGTTGGAGACATCCAGTCTGAAGTCGGCAGAATGGCTATGGGCCTCAGTCCTATCACAGTTACTGGAAAGAATGAGAAATCGACAAAGCTTGCGCACGAAGTCAACGCAATTTTAGGCTACTGAGGGCGGCTGGATCGGAATTGCGTCTTCGAGTAATGAAATATAGTACTTCTCTAGCTCAATACTTGACTACACTAGATCTATGAATCTCTCTTGCAACCTTAAACATCCGTAAACATTCGCCGTATGCCATTTCGTCTAGTAGCCATACATCCATAGACGGTAGCACAACAATCCCCCAGAGGATTCTAAAAGCTTGCACAGCCTTGGAATTGCCAGAAAACTTCGTAAAGAGGTAAGGTATAAACAAGAGGACGTTATAATTCTGGAGTATGGATTGTAAGGCGGGATGGAAATGGAATTTGCAGCCTTGCCCGGCGCGTACCTAGTTGCGTTTCCTTGTTTCTGCTTCCGGTGGCTTTCCAAGAGAGCCGAGGCCTCAGAGGTACAGCTCATGTTACTCCCTTCGGTAACATACTTGCAGCCCGCGTTAATAAGAACTTGTGCCTCCTTCAAACGCTCATTCTGAGTTGCACATGGCGGTGCGATTTTCACCCGAGGGACGTTCTTCCAAGGTCTCTGGCCGGGAACATACTTGATACCAGTATCATCGTCACTGACAAATTCCGCCAGCTGCCTCCGCTGAGCTTTGTGGCTAATAACTTTATCCAGAAATCCCATGTCAATTGCCCCATCCTGAGTCGCTATCACTGAGCCTTCGCTGTCAGAGAGAGAGGTGACAGACCCTCCAAGCTGGAGGACTTTGATGGCTGCATGCTGGGCAACATTTCCAGCTCCAGAAATAGCGACTGTCTTGCCAATGAGGGAGCCCTTCCCGTTCGTGCGGTATTTGATCATATCTTCCATTAAACAGGAATGATTAGACACACCTTCCAAACGTAAAGTGAGGGGGAATTACATAGGCAACACCGAAACTAGCTGCCTCCTTTCTGCCGAGAGAGCCTCCCCATGTCACTAAAATTCGCATTCACGTCAGTCCTAGGAGATAAAGAGCTACCTGGGATCTTCTAATGTTATCTTGCTCGGTAAAATCAAGAATAAGAGACCTGTTATATGCGTTGCCGTCCCTCAAATTCGAGGAAAGAAAGGATAGAAATAAAGGGGCGAGAAGCTGAGCTGCAAACTATTCACACTCGGTGCACTTAGGAATGCAGGGTATTTTCACACATCGTCAGTCCCACGTCATCAAGAGGATTGTCGCCCTGTCAGAGCTATTGCGATAACTTTGGGGCTTTTTTGTATTCGTCAAAGTGGATCGATTTGACATTTGTAGTGGCTGGTCTCTAGTATTTACATTGAACACGGCTATTTTCCGTCTCATTGGCGCCGTCGTCACATTCCATTTAGATGCTCTTCAATCTTGAGCCAGGCCGGGGGCAGCAGAGTCCCGGTCAGCCAGTAGTTGTCTCTATTGTCCTTGCCCAGCACCACGAACACGTTTCTGGCTGCCGGGCTCTGCCGCATGGATTGTGCGTGGTGGAACACTATGGTACCAGGCGGGTTGCTCCTCGATTGACTCGTCTCCCCGGCACGCACAACTGCCGGGCTAAAGTCGGCCACCCTGAAAAAGTCGGCTCTTGTCCAGTTGGTGAACGGTATTAGTACGGCGTTGGACTCACCGCACACCAACGCTGGGTCGCTACCGGACTTAGATTCCCGTCGCAGCTCACGCAGGTAAGCCAGCACCTGACCCTCCGTTGATTGCTCCATCAGATGGCGACGGTTTTCCAGAGCGATGCGTCCCAGATCTCCCGTCGCAACCTCTGAAGACAGGAACGTGAAGGCTGCCACCGCCATATTCTGGACGTAGACACCAGAGGCCTGAACCAAGTGCGTGAGTCGGAATCTCGCGTTGAGCGCATGAAGCACCGTCACTGGCCGTGGCTTCGGCAGGGATGATGCTAGTGCGCGTGTTGCCCATGCCGTCAGGACGTCACCCTCGCTGATAAAGGGCTTCTCGTTCCCGTTACCCTGAGCCGCCAGGTCGCTATGCGCCTGGCGACACAACTCGTTCACTACCTTTTTGGGCAAGAAGATGGTGCGCGTCTCGATAACGTGATTCCACAGCAGGTCCCAAGCAAATCGAAGCCCAAACATGAACATGCCCCATCCCCTCAGCTGCTTCTGTCCCACTCTAAACTCCTCCAGCTCCGTGGATGCATCTGCCGCTACACATATGGCGTCCTGTCGTGCTCCAAGCAGGGGCGGCACCTCCGACTCCCGGCCAGCGAGCACCAGAGACCAGCCACGTAGCAGGGCCTGTTGGCCCATGACATCCATAAGCGTGTGTGGCCATAAGAGAGCCACAAGCGTCGCATCATTAAATGAAGTTATGTGAAGCGATAGCTGGGGCATGTCCTGGTAGATGAAGTCTTCGAGCGTCGCGGGTGCAGCTTCCCGGGCCGCAAAAGCTCGAAAGTCCTGGGGCCCAGGCTGAATGGATGGGGCCTCAGTGGCTTTGGGGAGGGACTTCGCCAGCGGATGGTCTTCGATATTCATGGCAAGGACGTGGTGGGTGTAGTACACCGCTGGACGTTCAGCTGTAAAGGGCCGCGGTACATGAATCTCCAGCTCTCCATTCTGCTGGCTAGTCAGCTACTATTGAATAATCACAACACAATGATCAAAAAGAGACCTAACATTTAACCTCAGCCGACCCCCGACCTTCCTCCAGTCGCCAATCTCCAGTAGTTTTGACAATGAGTCGTGCAAGCTGTCCGCATCCAGCACGTCATTGAAGCGTAATGTCCAAGCGACGGCAATGTCCCGCAGCGTCTTGGTGTCGTCTAGCATATGAACGGGGTAGACGTCGTCGCTCTCAGCAAGCGGCGGTGGGGTTCTTACTAGAGACGCTTTGAGTAGGCGCCATAAAGCCGCCATCTTGTCGGTGTTGAGGAGCCTTGGCTGTTGATTCAGGTTAGATTTCGAACTTACAACTTGGAACCCTTATCACCCTCCTTAACTGCATGTGTACTGCGCATTTATAACTCTCCCTATCATGCATTTGTCCGTAGAGAAATAGGGGATCGATAGTGTACCGGAGAGTTACTAGTAGCCAATGAAAGAAGCCGTACGGGGGGGGACATACGGCACGCTTGTCTCGCAAATTACTAGTACGTATTATTCACTTCGCAATTTACGTATTGTTTCTTCGGTGGATGAGAAAATAGGGGAAACCATAATTAGGTCTGGACTCTGATTGGACTTGGTCCGGATGGCCCCTTAGAATAGTGCAGATCGATCTCATTTTCTGGAATGTCTCATTCTTGGCTCTGAAAATAGTGAATCGATTTGTGAGACACCAACCTCACCAACGGCAGTGCAGCAGGCTAGACATCCGTATTGCTCGCCTAGAGTGCTGCTGACCCCAGAAGCATATAAAAGCAAATGTTGCAGTCGATTGTGTTCATCACAATCACAACTTTTCAACATTCTCTCAATTAAATCAACTTACTACTCCTAATCCACTTCCCTTTATCTCAACCAGCCGAAATACAAATCAAAAATACCGTCCTCGTCGCTTCTACCGCCGCCGTTACTTCGGCCGCTCCTACTACCTAGTTCTCTTCCTCTCCTTACGCAATTCGGAGATTTTCAGTGTACTCTATTCTTCAGTAGTCCTGTGGCCTCATCTCTAACAAAGGGGTAGTACGCAATGTATTGGATCAAATCATCAGCTTTTAGATCTATCACCAAACCGCGAAGGGATATTTTGTAAATTAAAACGCGAAGCCCGTACGTCACGTGGAATGTTGTGACTGCACCGAAGCTGTTCCCATGTGGAGAGAGGCACGAATAGACATAAATGAATACCCGGTCAAGCAACTATATAAATCATAAATGAGAGGGATATGTCCAAAACTGAGCCCAGTATCTCAATAGCGAAAGCAATTGCATTAATTGCGTCCATGCAATGGGATGTAAGATTCCGAATCTCTGATCAGTCTTTCGCCTTGCTTGACAGCGATAGATTTGATGAGACTTGCAGGATGAACGACTGCAAGGCAAACAGCAACCAAAAAGAACAAAGATGCATCAAAAAGGTAGAGACACACCTCGCTGTTCACCATTATTGTACCAGCACCTGCTGCAAACTCGATAAATCGGTACAAGCTGCGAACAAAAACAAGTACACTAACAAGGTAGAGAGCCCACATATGATTTTTCCAACTTACAAAGAACCTTGCTGAGGGTTCAGTTGGAGAACTTTGAAGCCGTATTTGCAAAACTGCACTCATGGCAATGAAACATAAAAATGCAACCAATTGAAATCCAAGTCCACCAAGGACCAAATGGATGCCAGTCTCCATACCCTCTGCATTTCCACTTGCTTGGGCGGCAGATCCCATGATCTGACAGACGAAACTTATGATATCGATCGCAACGTAAATCTTTGTAAGCCATCGAGTGCGGATTATGGCGTGGTGTTCGGCGTCAAGGGCGCGGATATAACGACCCAGAGTCATGTATATACTAGCTGCCAGCAACGGAGCTGATCCAAGAATAAGCATCATTTGTATCAGGTAGGGAGTGCCATCACGAATATTGTTGTGGGACCATGCGCGGCCGTAATAACCAAAAGTCTCGCCTACGATATTGGAAGTTAGTTCCATGGGGGCTCGGTTCACTGGATTGGGCAGCTCGATGAATGACATACCAATGCAGCCAAGGACAAATGGGATGAAAAACCAAGCTCGGAGGCTGAAGATATAGAATAGATGTACCAGTGTGCAGATGCCAAACAGAGCAACAAAAATCCATCCAGCGGTAGCAGAGGGGTTGTACATATACAGATCGAAGTCTGCCTCACCACGCGTCATGATGTCTGCGTGAACCATTTTGGTATTTCAACTCCAAGAGAAAGCCGGGTTGGAAATGATATATGTCTTGGATGTGTTCAGTGTTCCTGAAAAAGGGAGTCCTGAGCATTCAACTAGAGCCTTGGACGGCTAATGGCTTTTATCTCAGTCATGACATGCTCTGAGATCAGGGGGTCTGAATATTGAAACCTAATTTGAGGATGTACTTATGGATCTATGGATCGAGGATAGTCAGTACATGCGTAGTTGTGGAACGTATATTAAACGATTGGTTGACCTAAATCACCATTTATCCACCATCTAGACATTAGCGTCCCAAACGTAAACTTAGTGTCTCAGAATCAAGTAACAGGTTCTGCCAATGAATAACTCTTGAGTAAAGGGCCATTTATTGTGTAGTGCTTTTGTGCTTTTTGTGTTTTGGGCTTTTTCAAGGCCCATTAAATAAGCCGCAAAGCGTTCGTGTTGAGATATACGATCTAGTAAATGCGGTCATGAAGGCACAATGTAATGTAATATATTGTGGTGTGTATGTGAATGATTATGTAAAATGCAGGAGGAAAGAGAGAGAGAGCTAATCTACTACTACAGACCATGCGATACTGGGAGTTCAGACAGTTTGAAAGACTTTCGCTAATTGATGGTCGCGTAAAGCCACAATATCACTTTCCCAGATAACAGTTAAGTCGGATATTACATACTAGGCATCATTATTTTTTAAAAAAAAAACACCAAGACTCAGCCTTTAAATCAAATACAATTACTGCAACGAGCTTTTGAAAACATTGGTAACCCTAACCACTGCTTTACTTCAACAAGAAAGTGTACTCTATGCCCACTGCCTTCATGGACCACTGCATCCAGACTCGATAATCACGTTCCAGTAAATGATAAATCCCAAGCAAAATATGCTTAGCCCAACCACGAAGAAACCAACAGTCGTTCAAATCATACAGGTTGATCAGCACTGCAAAGTTAGCGACAATGAGAAGCGCGTGGGGCTTCTTTTGTTGCATTCAGTCAACAAATTCATCCTCCATGACATATAGCCATTGAAAGATTATCTGGTGGATAACACTGCCGTTGTATGATCCTTTTTCATCGTCCCCGTAGGTTGCCTCGTAGTTCTGGGCTAGTCTGGCATGTGCAGTCAAGTAGATTCCAATAGAATCTGCCGGCGCGGTTGCAGAGATGAATTCCTCCAATTCCCGGAAGTATTTCTGCCAGCTTATTCTTGGCAAATTCAATTTAATTGCAGTTGGTGTATCGGCATTTGGAAACTCATCAACACCATTCGATGAAACGACGTCATTAAAACCTCTATCATAGACTTTTGTTTCCCTGATCGTACGGACGCCATGAAGCAGAGGCAGCCACATCGGTCGACTATGGTTGCTGAAAACGAGATATTCACCTGGGCTAGGACCCCTCGAGAACATATACCAACATATGAGGAGCGAAGAAATGTAGATCACTTGACAATTCTGATCGCTCAGACAAGACAAAGCCTGTGTCACATGTGGGAGAGCTATGGAAAAATGATTTTCAGCGAGATCTGCGTAGTGAATCTTCTTGTTTCCTTCTGAAGCCAGAGATTGAATATGGCGGCTTGCCAATGCTAAAAGCAGGTGCATGACAAATGGATGCTCGAGACCCATCTGCGGTATATGAATACGGAACATAGTCCTTGCAAACTCGCCTGACAAGGTGTCGCACGTTGAAATTGAATAGTGATGAAGAAGCTCGAGATGACTCAAGTTCAAAGAGGCATCCTCAGATCCTGCTTGGGTTGTAGGGCGACTGCCTTGGTGTGGTAATGAGTGCAGCGAGGCAGGCGTAATGCCTCTGAGTTTTCGTGGTCGCCCAGGTGCCTTCCTGGACCGGAACTGGGCTGGTAATGAGCTCGATGTTTCTTTGGGATTATGATGAGAGATGGTAGAAGGATTATGAGAGCCAGTCGGAGAGACATATGAGTAATGACAGTCCACCGAGAAGTTTATGCAATTTTGACAACTCGGCCTGCTTTCATCACACTAGTACATAGATCAGCTTTGTGCTGCTGTGGATAAAAGATGCCGTATGGTTACCTTGATCCGTCGACTTTTGCATACAACACAGCCATTCCGAGATTTCGTGTGCGACTTACGCCCGTTGATAGGAATTAGTCCTCGAACAAGGAATGGCTTCATTAATACTAAGTTGGGTGTCTTGATAGGTATTGCTTGATTGACCTGAGTTTCGTGAAGAAAGATTCGATGATATCACTATGACAGGTGACAAAAGTGATGATCTGAGAAAGAAATGAAACCCATTCGATAGGCTAAGACCCCGGAAAATAGAACCAGCATCGCCCGGTTGAAGTATATAAATATATTTTTGAATGCCAAGCTGTTCCGTTTACGGTTCAGACAATCACGAATACGAGAATATTACGATATTAGGTTACCGGGCCGCGCCCATTGTAGATCGATGAATGAATCGGCTGTGTTACCAAATGGGGAAAGTGGCCCTTGTATCCAGTTACACGAGCTTGGGTTCCAACTCATGGATACTCCAAAAAAGGTTTTGCGATAGTTACCCAAAATATTTGCTTATATATCCACTGTAATGAATGGATAACGTACTTCATATACGAGCCGCCCACCTTAAGACACCATAGTAAATGTATTATATCATGATATTTCAACAATCAGCGCTTATATTTAATTTTATTACTTGCCGATAGTAATTGATAAGTATATTTAGTATTATATACCAATTTTAGATACATTGAGAACTTACATTATTAGGGTATCGAAAAAATATGGCTAAACTTCAGAAGGATATACAACATATATCTTAATCAATGATATACTCTCTAAACTCTAATAAGTGGCTAGATATCATATAAAAAGCCTATACGGGAAAGCTAATATAAACAACCGTTATTAAAATATCCTATTGTAACTATTGCCTTTACTATATATTCTCGGGTACGCCACCTAGGGGTATATACTACTCTGAGGTGAAATATGTTATCGTTGAGATATCAAGTTGTAATTTATGGCATTTACCATAGTGTTTTAAGTAGGCGGCTCGCATATGAAATACCGAGGGATGCTCGAAATTAGCTGGTTATATAAGCGAAAATCAGGGTATCCCCGAGGTATTGTCTCAATATCCCCGAGCTGGTGGCTCTCAGAAGCTCAATTTTTATTGAGCGGAGAATATAGAGTGGCAATGTTGTCGTGTTCGTACTCCGAATCTCCCCAATTGGTTGAAACACGAACGTTGGGAACCCTTCGGCTCGATGGTCCGTGAAGATTTAAATGTTACCCGTTGTCACATCCAATTGATTTCCTCTCTATCTTTTTTTCTTCTCTACAATCAAGATGCATTACAGTCATCTTTGGTTTGCATCACTTATTCTCGGCACCTCCCTTGCTGCTAATAACCTGGCGAGTAACATTGTGGATCTGAAATATGCATCCTATAAAGGTCTTAAAGACCATACACAAGGGTTAGCATTTATGGTCTTTGCGTACAGTCCGCCGCTAACTGAGCGGTCTTGACAGAGTCATTCAGTATTATGGCATACGGTATGCCGAGCCCCCTACGTTCGATCATCGTTGGAAAGCACCGATTCCAGTCGCGAAGTTTCCTTCGAGCAACCCTCCCATGCTGAACGCTACTTCACCTGGACCACAATGCATGCAAGTCATTCCTCCCTGGCAGACCGCTGGCATTGCATCAATTGGCATGGATCCCAGTAGCTATTCTGCCAGCAAGAATTTACACTCCAGCGAAGATTGCTTGTTTCTAGACGTACTTGTGCCTGAGTCACGCAAATCTTCTAGCCTGCCTGTTGTGGTAATGATACACGGTGGGGGTAAGTAACTAATTATATGTATTTACATTTAGGTGCTGACTGAATATGAACAGGGTATGTTATCGGAAAAAAAACCGAATCTGACGGAACTGGATTCGTCTCGGCTTCGAATGGAAGCGTAATTTGGGTTCAAATTCAATACAGGCTGGGGCCATATGGATTCTTGGCAGGCGGCGAAATCCAGAGCGAAGGAAGCTCAAATGTTGGTTTACTGGATCAAAGAGCTGCACTGTTGTGGGTGCAGGAGAATATCCATCACTTTGGTGGTGACCCTTCGAAGGTAACGATCTGGGGGACAAGCGCCGGAGGAGGATCTGTGACAATGCAGATGATGTTGAATGGAGGCGACCCGAACCCTCCTTTTCGAGCAGCAATCTCTGGTAAGATATTCATAACGTCAATATCATCTTTCGGTCATGAATAATGCTGATTTGGAAACACTTGCCTGTTTTGTTCGGATTAGAATATCCTTGGTGGCAGTCCTTCCATGGAGAAGAGACCATAGAAAATCAGTATCGCAGTCTGCTACAAGCGGCCGGCTGTCAAAGTCTTTCCTGCTTGAGAAATATATCATCCGAATCCCTGCTGAATGCCAGTCTCTCCTCATACGGTTCGGCCTACATGAACGGTGATTTTGGATATGGCGATTACTTTTTCGGACCAACAGTCGATGGTACCATCATTCACGGTCTGCCGTCAGAAGAGTTCAGCTCAGGGCGATTTTCCAAGGTACCACTACTAGTGGACCATAATTCTTTGGAAGGTAAGGGACTGTCTTGCCTTGAACACCTGGGGCCATTCGTTGACCACTAGTTTTCGACAATTCAGGTCTGCTTTTTTCTAACTTCTCCATTACCTCGCAATTTGAAAGCTCGTTCAATCTCCAGAGGCTTTGGCCCAAATGGACACCCTCATTTATCAGCAGACTACTAGAGCTTTATCCCGACAGGAAATACACCGGCTCCTACTATGATGACCGGGCTCTGCAGTCGTACTCACGGTTGCTCCCAACACTCAAAAACAACACTGCCTTTTTCAAAACTCAGGACATTTTCGGCGACTTCGTCATAAACTGTCCAACATATTATGTGGCTGCAGCCGTCAGTGATGCTGGGGTTCCTGTCTGGAAGCTTCGTTTCGGTGCCGGCACAGAAGTTCATGGAGCGACCGATCCTTACCTCCGAAAGGCCTCTAATTCGACGGACAATCCAACCTTGAGTCGGCAGATGAAGGAATATTTTCTATCGTTCATCCTTTATCTAAACCCCAATCACCTCACCGCGGTCTCAAAGCCGCAGTGGCCAAACTATTTCGACAAAAATAACACTTTTGCCACGCTCCACATCAATCAGACTTCAATCTGGGCTGGACAAGATTGGGACGTTTCTGCAAACTGTGACTTCTTCAAGGGACAAACAAGCGTTTTGCTAAATCGAGGTACTGCTTTTGTCAACTGGGTAGCACATTGAACACGTTCGCCATAGCTTTGGAGGATTAAGGTTTCCTAAAGTTGGGAGGGGCGCGAGACCAGGGTCGTTGATAGGGTGGGATGGACGCAGAGCTTTGAAAATACAACACAGTCCCTAAATTTACTCCGTTGGAAAATAGACCGCTCGATATCTGTCAGGCAACTACGGGATGTCACTGGCCAATTAAAGCTCTCTGAAGTACACAAGAATATCCAGACAGAAGACGTCCCCAATCGAATAGCTTGCGGCAATGCTATATCATCAGGCTTCGTGATCGCCATGTTTGGCGCAAATCGCGTTGGAGCAAGGCAGATCTCTACCTATTACTGGGATCAAAGTGGCGGTCGTTGCCTTTTTTGGGCGCAGTACCCAGGATCATGCGATCAACCATGTTCTGCTACTGAGAACACGGTTGAAGTCCGATTAGGGCCTAGGATAATACATCTGAATACAGACGTAGTAAAGACGTCTCCCCCGTCATAGTTTAAGACTAGGATCCATGAGATTATATCCACACGGGTGTGCTCTAGTTCGCTTTTAGTCGCAGCAGGTATGCGTTTGAACTATTCTTCGGAGATAAAACATGACATGGGCATTGATCAGGAGTAGGAAGTTGAGTATAAGAAGTAGAATACAGCCGAGAGGTCCTACAGCCGGACGGCACTTCGTGATATTGTTAAAGACGATAAACTAAGCCTGTGTCGTCTAGAGCGTGGTGAGTTTGATAGATAAAGTTAATACTGAAGCGGCAATCGATTTTCTTGCAAGAGCTTCTTGCATTCCTAATGGCAATAGGTTCGGCGGTAGTCTCAACGCACAAAAGTTCACACAGGCAGCTTTACTAATCTGCAGCTGTGGTGTTCTCCATAGACTTTGCCTAAATATTTGTGGATATGCATAAGCCTCTTATTTCCGTTATTCATATTCGCGAAATTCATCAATACATGAATAATTCGTATTTATACATATATTGTTACCGTCACCTGACTTGGTCATGTGATGCCCCTCCTTTTTAGCTAGCTTAGAGACTAGGATAATATATCATCTCTTACCATATATACAACTTATACTAGAATGGTAGTATGTCTTAAGATCTACCTCAGCGGGAACCCCTAAACTAAGAAAAATTTTTTATAATAAAATTGACCTTAGAGAACCCTCCTCGGAACTTAGAGGCCGGTCTCTAGGGCCTATATATTATAGGCTTAAGCTAAATATATTAGTAATAAAGCTATTAAAGCTAACTAACTTTAGCTTAATTCTATTAAGCGAATAGACCGGTAGTTATATATAGCTATCCGCCTCGCTAGACAACTTAATAATTATATTTAGCTTAATTAACCTTATATAAGCGAATTCGACTTAGATACCTAGTCAAGAATCGAGTTCTTACTAACTTAATAAACCGAGAGCCCCGCTCTCTCTAAAGCTAAGGACCTATACCTACCTAACTAGTCAATTTATAGGCTAAGCCTATATAAAGTAGCTACTAACTTTATTAAAGCCTCTTTCTTTATATCCCTAGCGGTATAACCTAGTAACTCGGAGCTATTAAAACCGCTTAGTAAAAAAGCCCCTCGTAAACCTAAGCGGAAAAGTAGGGCGCTACCTAACCCCGAGCCTATAGAACCTATCGAACTCTAGGACTTAAGCCTTTCCGAGCTCGGACCTATACTATTAGATACTCTATCCGAAGGATACTAACCCCTATAGATAGAGTTAGAACCTATACCGAAGGGTAATCCTAAAGCTTAATAGGTAGAGTTAGAGCCTACGCTAAGAGGTAATCCTAAAGCTTAGGACCTAAAAATAAGCCTAGGACTAGCTACCCTAATAAGGGCTATACTACTTACCTATAGATTTTACTATTAGAGGCTAGCGTACTAGAGGGTATAAAGTCGACTAATTAGATAACCTATATTCAAAAGGCCTATTATAGCCTTATAAGAGAATTAAACTCTAAGCTACCTAACTATATCGAATAACGATAGCCTAGCGCTAACCCCTAGCGGTTTTACTTTAGAGTAAAGGGAAGTTATAATCGAAATAATCTAGTAGGTAGTCGTACGCTCTATCCCCTAAGTAATATCTAGTATAATATCTAATCTACCTATAGCTAACGGATTATAGCCTAGACTACTAGGCCTACTAGGACTACTAGGGCCCCCCGGACTAAACAAGTAACTTATAACCCTAGATATAATATAGAAGGTATCTAAGATCGGTTATTTCGACCTAGACTATAAAGCTATAACTACTATTTATTTAGTAAACTACGTAAACTACTATACAAACGTCTACTCCTAGATAGACTATATAAGGGATATATGTTACGGACCTATCCGTCACCAATCAGTGGTGACCCACCAGGCATACCAATAGGCCATCGAGAGCCAACCAGCAGACCTATCAGCAGATCACGTGCAAGCTCACTAAGTAAGAGCATGATCCGCCCTAAGCGGATCTACCACGTAGAGGATTTCCGTTATATAGGTTACTCTACGTACCAGATAACCGCTAACTAATATCACGTGATCCTATAGGTAGTAGAAGGGTAGTAGGTAGATTAGTAGAATCCGCTAAGGCGATTCTACTATTCTACTATCTACTATTCTATATAGGAAGAACTTAGGGATATATAAGGACACTTATTTATATATCTAGTTTAGTTCTTCGTCTTTAATTATATATTATTACTTATATTTACCTTTTAGATTATTATAACTCTTTACTTAATTATAACTTAATAATACTTACGAGTAGACTAATACTCTGGTATAGATCTACTCGGCGCTCTACCTAGTATTAGTTCCTTAATCGCTTAAAAGGACTTAGGCTACTATAAGGCCTTACGTAGCGTTAGCTTAGTTAAGACCCGATTATTAACGTTAGACTATTCGAGGAGTATTAAGGTAAGTATACCCTAAACCTATCTAACCTAACTATAATTAGTTAGCTAGTACGTAATATATTAAAGACCGTCTCGAATTAAGTTTCGAGTTATAATAAGATAATATAGTTAACGAATCGACTACTAGTAGCGGTACTTCTATATAAAGTAACGTACCTAGCCTTTAATAAATAGCTAAGATAATCTAGTAACTATAGGAGTAAATCTTAACCCTAGAGAGCTAACGTTCGGTCTCTATAGTTAAGATTCTATAGCCTAAGTTCTTTAATAGAATACGATCTAAGCTTCGATCGTTTCTTACTTAATTAGATACGAACTAATAGATTAACCGATCTAAGCTACCTATAGAAGCTAATAAGATTATCTATATATCGACCTTTCTCTAAGGACTAGCCTTCGATTAGTTCGAACTATTCCTACGCGAGTTTTAAGAAGAAACCGACTAAGAAGTCTAGAGCGACTTTATCTAGGAAGTATTTAATAGCTACGATAAATTTAAAGAACGAATTAAACTTACGTTTAGTAATATCGACGCGAAACGAACGGCTAAATAACGCCTTCGACGCCTATAATAGACTACCTCGATTAGCGTATACGCCGCTAAATTTTAATAAATTATCTTATACTTAAGTTAGGATAAGGATTACTTCGTTTTAGTCTTTAAGGATAGACTAAAGGAATATATTAAAGACGAGCTAGTATATAATAATCGACTAGATACGCTAGATAAGATTATCGGTATTATAGTTAAAATCGATAATCGAATCTACGATCGTAAGATATAGCGTCGCGAAATAAGATAGTAGAGGACGGGCGGATAGTAACTATCTATCTAATATCGCTAGAACGATAGGCGACCTAGGTAGTCTACGCTATAACTAGCGAGATATATAGACTTATATAGCTTAATACTAATAGACCTCGATACGATATATAAAGAATAAGATAAGCGTCGATAGAAGAATCTTTACTTTACCTATAGGAAACTAGGATACTATACGAAGGAATATAAATAGAAGAAACTATATAAGAAACGGTAATATATATAAACGATACGCGAAGTACTATAAGCGACCTAAGAGGGAAAAGCTACTACTAGTATAGGTACTAGCGCCGAAAGAATAAGCGCTAGTTAAGAATACTAGGAGGAAATATACTCTAATAAGTAATAGGGTAATTTAAGAGGGTAGGTTAGGACCCTTATCGATAGCCTTAGATAGAAAAGACGAGTTACTATAGACCTAAGAGACGAACTCTTAGAAGATCTCTTAGTAAGATAGACTAACCTAAGCCTAGAAGAGATAGTAACGGGTAACCTATATATTAAAGGGTTAGCCGACGAGCTAGAACTCGATTATCTAGAAATCGATTAGGATATAGTAGAAAGTTAAGGGTAGATATAATATATACCCTAGGTACTAATCTAGGACCTAATAGGACTTATAGCTAGAGAGGACCTTAGTTAGCGGTCGTAAGACCTACTAGGACTAGAAACTATAGTTATAGGAATAAAGAAGTCTTAGGACCCTAAGTATTTTACGACTAACGATATAGGGCTCGTAGAGATATAGGACCCGATCCCCGAAGTTAATAGTAATCTAGGGACGCTAGATACGCTTCTAGGAATAGATTAAACTATCCTAAAGATACTAATAGAAAGCTTTACGAACTATTACGACAATAAAGAAGCTAAAGAGCTTATAAGATATCTTAAAGGAAAGATATAGCCTAATAAACTAGACTAGTACCTTATTAATATAATTAAAGAAGGCGATAACCTAGTAGGATACCCTTACGAAAATTCTACTTACGTATATAAAGGATATACGCGATACCTAGGATATAATAAGATAGCTAGTATTATATACTACGACGAAACGTATACTATTTATAGGTTAGTAAAGTTAGATTATAGTATCGAACTAAGACTATTATAGTAGATAAAAAAGCTATAATAGACGAAAGAATACTAAGGAATTTAGTATAATAGACGCTAGATATATAATTACGAGGACCGACTAATAATATATCTAGCGATAATACTATTAGGAATATATATTAAACTATATATAAACCTACTAATAGGGAT